AGTATTCGACGCTTTCTGTCGTTATTCATGCACCCTGTCACCCAGCAATGTTGTCCCGATGACGGGGGGACTGTCGCCATCGAAGACCACGGCTCTAATTAGGTTTGGGAGTTCGAAACGTAGAAAAAAGCGCGAACGAAGTTGGGGCACTGCAGACGCCCAACACCGGCTAGGCCTCTCATCCAGGACTTCCACTCTTTCTACACAATCAGAAAGGAGGAAAACGCCGGTAGCCCTTTCCCCTTTTCTCTCTCGCTCTCAAAATGGCGCTACCCACGATAAAACGGTCTATAGCCCAACCTGGCAACCCTGATGTTCGTCGGTCGCCGTCACCCAAGTAACTGTCGGCCCTGCCCTACTGCGCACGCGCAGTAGTTGCTTCGTTTACCACACGATAGATGGCGCTTGGCTCTCAGCATTATCAAATTTGGCAATTTTCGCCACACATCTCTAATTATGCTACAAAATGTGGATCTGAATATTATTTAACAAAACTTTTAGGAAACATTCGCCGGCTATTTATTGTTTACGATCGCGGTGCTGGTGAGGTAGGCTCTTACCCAATAGGCGACCTGGATTTGGCTGACGTGCTCCATTTCCGCGGATGCATCGTAGTGTACAGGCGAAGGAAGGAAGGCGCAAAAGAGTCCAGTTTTCTTTTAAAAGTTCTATAGCAAATAATTTTTTTTGGCTCCCTATTTTTGTGTTTTTGTGTTTCTTTTCACACCTTTTACGACGTGCGGTGGATGAAACTCGATTTTAAAATCATTTCATGGTCCCTTTAAACCTCGATAAAGGACTAACAGCAATATTAAGGAACATTTAATATGATAATAAGGTGATTATAACATGGGAAGGAAAGACAATGAGGAAAATAGAGATAAGACGAGGCCTTAGGCAGGGGTGCCCGTTATCACCTTTGCCGTTAGTGTTGTATCTGAGAGGATTGGAGGATAGTGCAAGTTTCACTTTTTTTTATTTGTGAAGCCTAAAAATTACAAAATTATTCCACTTTGCTGCAGTATCGCGATAGTATTTCAGAAATGCACTGTGTATCAATAGTTTTACATCGCGATACATTTCTTTTATGTATTCTTGGTATCGCGATATAATGTAGGGACCGTGTTTCATTCTTATCGTGGAGTAGTTAACCTCCTCACAGAAAGTCAAGTTTCACCTGGGATGTTTTGTCTCTGACCTTCCGGCCTTCCCCAGTTTCCTGACGAAGGCCGGGCTTTGGCCGAAACGTCGAAGAATAAATCGTCCGTTGTTGTTTTCACCAAGGGTTCTCTCTTCTCAGTTTATTTATATATATCTATATATCTATATATATATCTTTTTTTGTGTGTTGCATGTTCCGACTTCAGCTGGATCCAGCTGCAACTTGGACCAAGTGCAATAGACCCTTTTCGAAATTCAGTCTGGCCACGTTGATCACTATCATCATCTGTGGAACATCTGTGCCATACCAATGGCGGCCTTCTAGTGATTGATAAAGGAAGACGTTGAAGATGCTCCTAAGCGGATGATCCAAGGCCTGCACATTCGGGGGTCAGTACGACACGTGTAGGAATGGAACACAAGAGCTACGTAAGCGCTTATTTCTAATAACTTAGATTCAGTCAATCTGTGAGCGGCACACAATCGGCTTTAAAGCACTTTGGTGTATGGAGTTTTCTCGAGGCATCCGAGTGGGTTTGAGCTTTGTTCTGAATGCAGGTTCTTGGTCACCATCGAACTGAAAGTGATCGAGAAAAAACTCACACTGAACAATTCCTTGCGTGCCGTTGACTTGCGAAAGCGACGGTGCCGATACAACTTCATTTCCGCCACTGATATGGCAAAACCTAAACTGCTTTGCGAACCACTAGATGGCACTGAATTTCGGAAAGGGTCTATTGGTCCCTGTTGCAACTGGGATCCAACTGATTCCAGTTCAGCTGGTTTAGTGCCCACATTCCCAGTTGCAACTGGGAGTTGTCCAATAACCCACTTGAACGGGGACCATTTGGATCCCAGTTGAAACTTTTTACCTGGGATGACGAGGTTATTTTTAATCAAGTGGTTTGAGATCTATGTACAGGGTGTCACAAAAGAAAATTTACACAGTCTTTTTTACCGCAAAAATAAACTAGGCATCGCCGAACGCTTATTCTCCGCCCAAAGGTAGAGCTAGAGGTCACAACAAGATGCCAAAGTTTCAGTCCGATCCGATAACTTAATCAAAAGTTATAAGTGATTTTCTGAAAATTTCAGTGGGAAAATAGAGCCCATTTTCACCCGTTTTCGGTTTCTTGTGCCATAGAGCCCCATGTATTTGAAAACTCCGTCGGCCGCCATTTTCCCATTGAAATTTTTAGAAAATCACATAACTTTTGATTAAGTTATCGGATCGGGCTGAAACTTTGGCATCTGGTTGTGACCTTTAGCGCTATCTTTGGGCGAAGAATGAGCGTTCGGCGATGCCTAGTTTATTTTTGCGGTAAGAAAGACCGTGTAAATTGTCTTTTGTGACACCCAGTATATCACGGTGTTAGAGAATTACATGAATGACGAGGACGGGACGACAACTGGGATCCAACCGATTCGATGCACAGCGAAACCCGTTTAGAAAGAACCCACGTCCAGCGAATTGTTGTCAACATCGAACTCGCAGAAAATTTAAATAAAAATGCATGTAAAACATACTTTTTTAACGAACGATATATTGGTTATATCGAGCTTTTTCCCCCAGCGAAGGCTTGCGATTCCCACTAGTTGCAAACAAAAGCAAGCGAAGAGAAGAGACTCGGAAGGAGAGATCAGCTAAGAAAAAAAAACAAAAAAAAACTGCATGTATGCAAAAAAAAAAAAAAAGCTTTCCAGCGCGTTGTTACACGGCAGAAGTGAAGAGATGAGAAAGAAAGAGAAGGCTCTCGCCTTACAACGAATGCATCGTGGACGTTGGTTGTAAATTGTTTTTGCTATATCAAACTACTTGCTATATCGAACTGATTGTAGCGTTTCCTGCTGTTCGTTATTAACGGGTTTGACTGTACGTCATTTATGTAATTCTCTAACATTAACTTTACCAGCACGCTTCATCTCCACAAGTATGTACAGTTGTTTTCAAAATATTAGAGCCCACGTGGCCGGAACGGTTCAAGATTCAGTGCAGTTTCACGTGCATTTGATGATGAAACCCAGCGGATCCGCTTCGCGGTTGCGGTTCGAACGCCACGCTGCATGGGAGCAAGCCCGCTCCGGCCACGCGCGGTGGGCTCTAATCTTTTGAAAAAGACTGTACACATTTAGATTTCCTGTCTATTTTTTTTTTTAACTTTTAAGCGAGAGATGTATCGGCCATGAAGCTAGCCAATCATGCACGATCAGTAAGGAGATGACAAAATATTGGGTGTCAAGTCATAAGGCTCGATCTAAAATGGACCGTAAAAATCGACCCCTGCACGAAGCGATCTAAACTTTTCGTCAAAGTTGTATTTCACAGGTTCGTTTTTTTTTTTTCTTGTAAAATTAGAAAGCGTAGCTCCCTTCGTGTAAAAAAATAGGGCCAAAAAACTTGCGAGGGTCAATGGCGGGCGACGATGCAGACGACCTCAGTCGAGCGACAGGGTGCCTAATCTGGCTATTAATAGCATAATGTGGCAACACTGGCTACGAGCCACCGCAGCTTATCCAAGGCCGCTAGTGGGGTACATGGACTTGGAAAGGGTATGGTATGTTCACACAGCTGGAATGGCTGGGATAGCTTATAGCGTCCGCTACAGTCAAACTAGCGAGCAACACCGTACATTGTCAAAGTGCTACCAGTCAGTCATGTGATGTGATTGACTAGTAGCAGTAGACTACCTATCGGGATGGAATTTTAAGCAAAAGGCACTTTTCTAGACTAGCATCGACACGTTTGTGACAGCCCAATTTCTTTGGTTATTATTTGATGGTTGATCTCTGCCCTGATTGGCTGCTGCCACCTCAGATAGGAATACGTATTTCAAATACTTTGTGTATTTTTCATTTGTATTTAATTACAAATTGGGTAATGTATTTGACGTGTGTATTTAAATACTAAAACGTAGGTATTTCAAAACACAATTGTAATTAAATACAATTTTGTGGGCGAAAATACATCCCTCGAATTTATTGTCACTGTCCAGAGCAGGAAGAAAACCATGTTCTGCACCGAATGCAGTGTATCTCAATCAAGCACAAGTGTTTAGTGACTTTGTGATTACGGTGCTAGTCCAGGGCAAGAATAGTGACGAAATCGACGTTCACAGGCAGACTGACTAAATGAGTGCCTGTGACAACTTGTAAGGCTTTCCAGCCCGATTTCCATCCATATTTTTGCCTGGAACATTCTAAATGCGCGGGTTATCCAGATTTTCGTAACTGGAGCGAGTTGCAACAATAAAAAATTCTCCAGCTAGTGCTGTACGTCTTGGTCGTCTCGGTTCTTTGTTGGTCTATACCAAAATCTAATCGACAAAAAAAGCTGCGTGAAGCTCTGTACTTTTTTCACCTATTACGTTCAAGCTGATTGCATTCTTTTTTTGTGATTATATTCCTATTACGTAACTAGAGCCTCGCACACTAACTCCAGAGCGCGCGATGCAAAATTAAAATGAAATACCCAGAAACCTGTCGCAGTTGCCCTGAAGTCGCTGATGCAAATTTTGAGGAATGTATTTGGAAAAGTATTTGGAGGAGACCAAATACATTTGGTTGTATTTGTATCTTGCACTTAAATGCTTTTCTGGAAATGTAATTAGATTTGTAATTAAATACATTTTTGATGAAGTATTTTGTATTTGTATTTCGATACATATTTACATGTATTTTGCCCATCCCTGCCATTAGAAAGTGTGCCCCCAGTTCAAGCAACAATATCTGTGCATGTATGCTGGGATTGAGGTGGCTGACAATGAACACAAGGAGCCCAAATGAGGAACACTATGAGAAAAACCAGTTCTCTGAACTGCGCAATACTGCTAGGAAACAAGAACCAGTAAAAAGAGGTCTTTTTATTTTTACCACCTCCAACAGGAGGCTTTCTGCCATCTACAAGTCACTGTACCAAACAACCACAACTACAGCAGGCAGCAGATTCATATCTCTCTCCAGACAGAGAGAGACTTGCTTAGCGAAAGGAGCTTTCAAACTGCAGAAAGAGGCACACTTAAACTGAGAACACCATAGCATTGAACTGGGAATGTCTCGCCAAGAGTCAAATAGGTTCAAGAACTGATAAATATCGGACTTGCTCACGCCCTCAACTTTCAGAGCAAGTCAAAAATAAAAGGGCCACCTTCTCTCCATAAACATACAACACAAAACATATGCAATCCTACAAGACATACACAGTCAAGGTAGCCTAACCTCGACACCCCACCGAAAATGTGGCAATAAGTTAACACAAAAAGAGCCCTCTCTTACATGTTTTGGCGACTATCTGATGATGATGATGAGAACAGAATGACACACTGACAATTTGCCTGTAGGTACCAAGCAACCATTTCTTCAAGTTATGCCACAAAGATGTTGGCTTCTGTCTAGCCACCATTGCAATGACGAACCATGAGGGGCAATAGTCGGTACTGGCAAGGAGCTGTCCAGACAAGCTGGGCATAAAAAAAGGTAACCCTTCCGAGACATGCATGCACAAAGACAGTCATTCGAATCGGAAGCAATGTTGAGTCTAGGGCTTGGGCGAGAACTGGCACCAAGTGTAGCCGTACTCATTCGAACACAAGACATTTGGCCAGAAGCATACACCACACATCACTCCCACACGAATAAAAAAAAGACCCACTCCTCTCGCACATTACAGAGTATGGCATTCCGCTCCAAGCTGGATTCCAACTGGATCCAGCTGGATCCAGTTGGAATCCAGCTGGACCGCCTCATTTCCAGTTCCATAATCCAGCTGGAAGTGGACTGATTTTCGCCTGGAAGCCGGCAAGCCAATCAAGCGCTCCCGTTTTTTCCCCCCGACACACAAAGTTGACACAACAACCGAGAAGAAAACCAAATCCCTCTTTTAAATGGAATGATCCCGCATTCCTGCAAACACACAAAAGGGCAATCTTTGGATAGCACTCCCACAAGGAGAGGAGATGTCTTCGATCAACCAATGACTAGCAAGAAAAAGAGAGTGGTCGAGTGTGTTGTCCCACAAAAGAATTGCCCTCAGCGCCACCTTCAGGAGTTCCGCAGCCTTGCCTGGAGGTTGGCGTGCGGTCGATATGAAGGCGTCAAGGGATGCCACAATGCAGGATATGTCTGGTACGCTGAACATGCAAACAGAACCTGGCAAGTGCTCACCCCACGGGCGTCCAGACAAGAGGAGGCCACAAAGCCAGTGGTTTTTAGCGGCAGCAGAGTGAGAGATGAAGTTCGAGTGGCTGGCAGGCGACATGGCACTGTACAACAGCGAGGCCACACCAGCTGGTAACGGTGAGCTAGGCCCAAGGGACACTGGGGCAAACAAACACGGGGGGGGGGGGGGGGCTCAAGCTAGCTTTTAGCAAACAAATCAATACTAGATCTGCCTGCCAGCGATGTCTCTGTACAGGCTTTTACAAACATCCTCACCTCTGGAAGCAGATTATGCCAAATATCCGCACATTGTACTAACTAGCAACCTCGAGCAAAGCGACGTCTCTCTCGCAACCTCAGGAAGTGGTTGCAGAGTAGAGCAGGCATTGAAGGAGCTATTTGGTTACACTGACTCGACCTACACCGGGGCTAGACCTACGAAGACACCGAGAGGCGTAATACTAGGACCAGGAGACGGCGCAAGAAACCCCTCTTCCAATGAGCTCCCAACCCACCCTCGGCAACTGCTCGTGCCAAACACGGGCACCAATGTTGACTTTTGTGTGCACGAATGCTAAAAAGTCTCCCGTCAGCTGCATCCTATCTCTAATGCCAGTAGCTACCTTTAATTGCTAAGAGCGTTTTCAGGTGACCAATCAAGCTCAAAGATCCTTTTTACAAAAGCTAGAAAACAAACCCAATTTCCCTTCCAAGGCCCAACTGGTCAACATTTGCCCCCTCAGATGTGCCAGATGAAAACCACGAGGTAGCGTCACAGCAGGCGTGGCATCGAGCGGTCACTCTGCGACGCCACCCTCTTGAGGGCCGTGCCCCGTCGGATCTGGTCCAGCAGCGACTCGCGGCACGCAGTCAGGTCCACCGAACCACGGCCTGCCAGCCAGCTCTGCACCCTCGATGCACGGTCAGCATCCGTCGACTTGCGCCGGTTTCCAAGCTCCGTCTGCAGAGATCCACGACGTGGAGACTGGCCCGATGCCCCCCCGCCGCTGCGTTGCTCTGCCAGCCGCGCATTCAACGTGTTGAGGAACTGGCGCCGCTCCACGGAGGCGGTGCCCCTCTTCTCGGCACAGGGGCCCACCGAGCGGCTGCGGCGTGCCTCGGCAGGCTCAGGCCCCGCCCGCTGCTCCTTCTTGAGCAGCGTCTGCTCCAGGTCCGTGGCCCCCCGAGGCCCACGCTGGGCACCCTCCTGCAGCGATCGCCCGGCCACACCAGCCTGGGGATGCCCGGCTGCCCTCATCGACAACTTGGCATTCAGACTCTGGATCAGGGCGTCTCGTTCGCTGTAGCCAATCGTGTGGGCACGCAGCAGCTTCTTCTCCGCCTGCCGACCACCATCACCGTCATGTGGGTCACAATGTGCAAATGGCCTTGCCACCAGAGTTCAAACCCGGCCCAGATTACGGAACTGGAAATGAGGCAGTCCAGCTGGATTCCAGCTGGGTCCAGCTGGATCCACCTCGACTGCCTCATTTCCAGTTCCATAATCTAGCTGGAAGTGGACTGATTTTTGCCTGGGCCTGAAAGCTGCCAAGCAGTTCACGTTGGCTCCATGCGAGCAACAAAACAAGACCAAAAACAAAACCCGGCAGATGTGGCACCACCGATCATTGCACTCCCGAGAGATGACAATTCCGCTCGGAAAGCGGAAAAAAAGAGGAAAATGGCGCCGAGTACTTTACTTCCCAGAAGGTGGAAACTTGTTTTGTTTTTTATTTAGCTGACAGACCCTGTACAACCTTTCCATTTTTTCACGATAGTACTATAATCAAAATAGGTACTTTGGGATATCAATTTTTCTTCTTCAGGAAACTAATCCTTTTTGGTATCATCTAGGACAGGGGTTTCAAACTTATTTGAGTGTGGGGTCGAGGTAGCCCACCCCGGATAGGCTGAGGGCCAACATAAGTCTGAAGGAAGGAGAGGGGGTTGAAAAGATTTCAAAGAGAAGGGATGCACAGTTTTGCCGATGAGAGCTTTAGATTTGATTTGTTTCTATGACTACTTTGGGCCCTGACCTGATGTGACAACAAGAATTAAATAGACACCGCCCCACTAACGTACTGGCATTTTTAAAAGAGAGCAAGCACACTGTCCTTCAAGTTGCTCAATTCACTCAGGACTTAAGCAAGCTGACAACAAGCCTCCGAAAAAAAGCGGACGTTTCGGAAGATGGGAAAATTTAAGAATGTCGGATGTGCAACGTCTAGCGTGATAGTTCTGTTTTTAGTTTTTTTACAGATACATGAAAACCGCGAAATAACGCTAATTAAAAAGCAATATTATTTCGTTTTGGCACAAACTACCTGTGAGCCGAAAACAGGATTGTTGGAATTGCGAGGAGTGCTTTAAAGTAATTGTCAGTCAATGATTCAACTACCTCAATGCATCACTGGAAAGGTCAAATCAAAATCACATTATCCAGAATGTACCTCATCATTGGTCACTTGCGCAGTGAACTGAGGTAAATTACTCATTGACATTCTGTTCTTGAGGCAGAAATTATTGAAGAGAATCACACTCCCGAAGGCTCACAAACGCACAGTTTACCGTGTTGCCTATTTCACACCTCGCCGTAACCGCTGGTTGTACTTCACTGCACGACGGTAACCGTACGACCGCACGGCGTCCATTTGCAATCCATGGCCCCGTAACGTTCCTGCGCGTGCACAGGCATTTGCCGAATCTTTGCCAAACTTTCCTTTGAAAGTTCGGCATGGGCCGAACTTTGCCGAACCTGAAGTTCGACAGATTCGGACCATCGCTACTATTTTCTTACTGCTGCAGCACTAATACGCCCTAGAACGATGATCCTACTCTCATTGGAAAGAGCATTTCTTTACAGTTTCAGTACACTAACCACCTTTGTTCGAAAGTAAACACCATTTGGGTAAGAACACCAGAACCAAGCTTTCACGAGGAGGAAGCTGCTACGCACATGAATCGAAAAGCCCGCCCTGATCAAACAGAAAACTGAAACTAGAACCGACATTCGTTTATAGAAAGTAACGTGGGTTTGTCCGCTTTGTTTTTCGACAATGCTCGACCACCATTGCTGACGCCGGAATTTGAACTGCCGATCTGGTCCCGTCAAACGTATGTCAATGGCAGCAAACGCTCATTAATTCGGAGGGAACGCAGTGCACTACGGTTAATTCGGACGAATTCGGCAGGTGGCGCTAGCTACCGTCCGTTCCAAAGGGTATGACCGCCATCCATCCGAGGTGCACACGTGGTTTTTCCGGTTTTCCCATGGTTCTTCGCTCTTCCGGTTCTCCGTGTTTCGCACCGGTTTTGCTCTGGATTGCTGTGCTTCGGCGCGTTAATCTCCTGGCAGCGGCACAAGCATAGCTGCAACGGAAAAAGGGTGGCGCAAGCGACCGACAACCGGAATGGCAAAATCGCGACACGCTTGCCTATGTTCCCGAGCGTGCCGACAGCGAGAGTGACAGTCACCTTTTATGCCTCAACGCGGGGATCCGCCATTTTAACGGCTATCTTATCCCCCAATTTTTTGCCGGCCACCCAAGCGTTGAAAAATGCAACGTGACTGGCACTCTCGCTATCGGCGCACTCGGGAAAAAATAGCGCTGGGTGTCGCGATTCTGCCGCTCCGATTACTGGTCAGTTGTGCTACTCGTTTTCCGTTGCAGCTGTACTAGGCTAAGAATTCAGCGACGAAAGTGGAAATACTGAGGGCCTTGAAGGACGCCGTCTCTCGATGAGCGACGGAAAGTTACGACGTCGAGAGAAGCAGTTTGGCCCCGTAAGTGAAAATTGAGGCCGATATCCTATGGGCTTTCGAGAGCGAGAAGTTCAAAGCGAAAAGAAAGCGGCCTTGGAAGGTGGAACTAGAAGAGGCCTTGCTGCGCTATATTGTCAGCCCATGGGATGCGTCGCTCTGACAGTGCGAGCGCGATGGAGCGCTCGACCGCGCGGAGGAAAGTTGCTGTCTCCGCCCAAGTGTCGTGCAGAAAGCGGGCGATAAGAACAGATTTCTTCTCAAAATAAAGGTATGTCACAGGGAAACGTTTTCGCAGTTTTCTGTGTCCTTTGGATGTTTCGACTTTCGAACATTTTTGCCAATCCCATGAGATCCGAATCAACGAGGTTTTACTGTATTGCAAGCCTATCCGATCCCTCGCTCGTTTCACAATAAAAAATCTATCATTTCCATGAATTTCCAAATTTATTCTTTGTCAGGAATGTTTTTGAACTGAAATTTAATGGGAGGAACGTAGCTAGATTTTTATTTTTTCCATTTAAATGAAGTTCATATTGCCAAAAAAGTATGCTTTTGATGAGGAGAAAATGCACCATTATGGTGGAATGCTTTTCAAAATGATATTCTGCATAGAACAAGCAGAGATTTCAGGGTAAAAAATAGATAGTTGCGCCCCCATATATGTTCTAGTTAAGAATGAAGCTTAGGAATGCTCAATAATTTTGCAGCAATTTTATGTGACAGATTTCCCAAGTGAGGCGACTTCCATCAATAGCTCTATTCGCGACTCCAGCGACCTATAGGGGGCGCCACCACCAAACAAACATGGCGGCTGGGTCCAGGTTTGCGTCTTCTCGGCAGAGCCGCCTGAACGGGTGGCGCATTCAATTTAACAGATTTCCTTTTGTTTAATGCCCAACTTTATAGGTATTTGAACTGCGACTCTTAAGTGCAGCCGCTGCACACAAACTTGCAGAGCATAGTTTTGTTTTCCCGGTGTTTTTTTTCAGGGGTGAGACAGGTGAAACAGGTTTTGGAGCAATTTTCGGAGCAGAAAAAAAATCTGAATTTTGGAGCAGCTTAGAAGCACAAAATTCTCGTTTTGGAGCAGCGGTTTATGCAATTCGGAGCAATTTCGAAGCAGAAAAGTCTACAGTTTGCATCAGATTAGGAGCAGAAAATGTTAGAGCAGCCTATCAGCAATTTAAAATCATGAAAAATCTGATTTCATCACATGAATCTGATTTTTCTTTTTTAATCGTCATTTTTTCCCACCCTGGTTCTAATGTCATCAGCGCCCATACGCACCAAGATAAAAAGGCACACGCGAGTCCAAAGCGCAAAGCTGAGGACAAGTAACACAGGCTTGTTGCAAAGTCAGGAGGGCACCAGGTACCTCAAGCTTATACGAACTGGTGCCAAAGTGCAATTGTAGTGCAAAACTTTTTAAAGCGGCGATTCGAGAGCATGAAACAGGGAAGCAGGGTTTACTACGACCAGACGTTGATCAGACGCTCCTAGAAAGCACGGGCAGATAGAAAGAACTCCACACGAAAGGGAGTCGCAAGATTCTGAGCAGCACATGCACGCTAATTACGGGCGTGTGACCGATTCATTCGATTGTTCACGCACTGGAAGCACGAGTGGGGTAACCCAAAGTACTTACGGCGACGGCCATTTTGACAAGAAGATTACGGACACGAATGACACAATAGAGGCCTTCAATGGCACTTTTAAGAAAAGTTTTACTCTCAAAACGACAGAAATACTTAGGTTTCTTGATGGCCTGTGCGTCGTACCTCCCGCGGTCAGACAGCGAGACCGCATGACAACGCACCGGTAGCATGCAGTCACAAATGACACCGTAAAGTGCATCGAGTAGTAGGAAAATCGGAGAAAAGAGTATGTGTCATAGGTATAGAAGGGTACTACAGCTGAAATCTTCGAATCCGGAGGTTGCTTGCACCACCCTGTACCCATGCCATGTATTCTACTACGACAAGATTGAATGTTGCCAACCAAGCTCTCGTTTCCCGCTAAATCTAACGTCGCCGCAATCTTTTTTTTTTTCTTTAGTTATTTTTGGCGCAGTGTGGCGCAATTTCGACCGATTTCGCGTTTTTGGCGCAACTAGGCGCAGAACATTGGGTTTGTACCAAAACGGCGCAATTGGCACAGATGTCACACCCCTGTTTTTCGTTCTTTTCATGTCAAACTTTCGTTTCAGAGATTTCATTCAAAACAACGTAAAAACGGGTCCATATGCACAGCCTCTTCCTCATGAAAGCGTTCAAATTGTTGTACAGTCGCCGACCGATTTTTCGGACTTCGCAGGGACCGAAAAAATTTCTGAATAATAGAGGAGTCCGAAAAATCAGCAGATTTGCCTTCATTATGTCGAAGAGGGCTTAGAAAGGCCGCAACTAGTGCCTTGCTTCAGGTTATGCGCCCCAGGCGAAAGTCGGTCCACTTCCAGCTGGATTATGAAACTGGAAATGAGACACTCCAGTTGGATTCCAGTTGAATTCCAGCTGGATCCAGTTGGATTCCAGCTGGGTCCAGTTGGATTCCAGCTGGATCCAGCTGGATTCACGCTGGATCCAGCTGGATTCACGCTGGGTCCAGTTGGATTCCAGCTGGGTCCAGTTGGATTCCAGCTGGGTCCAGTTGGATTCCAGCTGGGTCCAGTTGGATTCCAGCTGGTTCCAGCTGAATTCAGCTGGACTGCCTAATTTCCAACTCCATAATCCAGCTGGAAGTGGACTGATTTTCGCCTGAGCGCCTGCGCGCCTTGTTTCAGGTTACGCCTCCGTTTGCGTTCGGCAACTTTCTGTTAGCTTGAAAATCGCTGCCTTCTTTTCTAGTGTTATGGTAGAGTGCTTTCTGCTCTTCTTAGGCCCGCTTCAGACGGAGCAATTTCACCCAGCAATTTGACGTCGCAACACCAGCAACACCGGCCGCCCGCGTTCACACGCAGCAACCGAATTGCTCCGACTTGCCATCATCATCATTAACTTTGATTCTTCTTTCACTATTTAGACGCCCAACTACGCGCTAAAAACACGTTCTTATGTCTTTGAATGGCGTCGAGAATACTAAGTCATTTTTCTGAAACTGTTTATTTCCGAAAACGATCCATTCCAAACCAGAACTAAGTCTTTAGCTGTCATCATCACCACCACAGGGGTGTCACGTGAAAATATTGCGTCTCCGATTGGCTGCAGCCGCTTCAACCATCTTCGAATTGCTCCGAGTTGCTCGCTTGTTCGAGCCGGACACGATCTCAGCAATTCGCGTCGATCTAGGGAAAGCTAGGGAACAACCCGCCAGCAACCTCAAAATTGCTGGAAAAGTTGCCCCGTCTGAAGCGGGCCTTAGCGACACATCGTGGCGGCAGAAGAACGAATGGGGCAATGGTGTCCAAGCTAGCATTGTCCGAAATCACGATTCAACGAGACGAGATCGAGAGGAGGGGCACAAGTCCACAACTGCAATGGCGAATGAACAAAGCAAAATGGCGACAACAATGATGATGATAATGACGCGCAGCTAGACAAAAAAAAAAAGACGTACATCGTCACCTAGCGGTAGGACTTGGCAGTACTCAAGTAGCGCCGCCAAACCGAGCCAATCCATGTGCAGCCAATACAAAATCTAAATTGGCCGCTTCGTGGTGGTGTTTGCCCCCGCTGATCGCTTGCGATTATTTTGTCCGAAAAATCCGACTTTTGGATTTCCAGCTGTCCGAAACAGCGGTCGTGAATACGCGCCGTTTCCCCCCCTATCGGGTAGGTCACGGTTCCTCCTTCAGGTAAGAAATATCGAACAAGTCCGAATTATCGGCGTCCCAAAACTCGGTCGGCGACTGTACAGGTGTTTAAAGGGATACTGAAGCGAAACTTGAAATTCACCTATTATGGTCAGAAATAGGTCTAATATGATCAATGATATCCGTAAATCATAATCGCGCATTTGTATTTTGAAGGGATGGCTATATTTTTCACCCTGGGGGGCCCGATTGGGCGCGCGCTCGAAAAGCAGCCATCGGAGAGCGCGATGCGTCTTGGGATATTGGGCGCATTCGTGACGTCACTTGTGCCAGACTGGAAAGGCTACGGAGTGGATGTTATGGTTAGGAGCGTTGCCACTTGGTGGCGCGTCGACGATTTATGACCTGTGACAACGTGGCCGTTTGAGATGTGCAAGGGCTGCGCGCACGCTGCACCACCGTGAGTCGGCAACCACGGCACCACTGACAAAACCAGCTCTGAGGCCGGATTCTCAAAGCGAACTTACGACGAAAAATGTGCGTACGACAAATGTGAGAGAAAACCCGTATCCTCTAAACGAAATTGTCGTAACTAGGACTCTCATTGATTCTATCTCCTTGTTTTGTGTGATATAGAGGTCAAATAAACGCCATACGGATTACCTTCGCAACACGGTATGTACATTTTGTTATTAGTATGCCATTTTTATTCTGACACGACGCTACGTCAGCTACGCGATGTCGGTCCAACCTTCTTTGCCGAGTGTCATGTCAGTATTGAGTTGCCATCGTAAAAGATCGGTCCAGAAGCGCTTACCGAAACCCGGTCTAACAGAGCGAATCCAGCACTTCGATCAAACGCGCGTGTCCGCTCCGAGTGTGAACAGGTATTTGCGTGGCTCTTGCTGACACTCTCGTAATTCAAACATATCTTTTTTAACGTCGGCTCGCAACTCGCAGCAACTAATACCGGCCGTGCCAGAAGCATGCTCGGGTCGTGTCGTGCAAAGAGCAGCAACGAGAATGAGCTCGCTGTGGCCAACTATGCTTTGGCTTTCTCCGCCAAGGCTTTGCAAACGCGTTCAGGCCTAGGCTAATTGTGCCGGCATGCCGTATTGCCGCAGAACGGCGCTGCTCCTATGCCACAAGTGATGTCACGAGAACTATCCCATCATCCACCAGATGTGAACATGAAATCGTTTAATTAGGTTTAAAATTAGTTCTCCTGTGTTTTACAGCGCGATATTGATATTTCCGAGGTGGTGCCTGTCCCTAGCCCATATTTATGCAGAAAGATCGGTGCTAAAATTTCGATTGATGAAAGCTGGGAAGCAAAAAATAAATCAAAACGAAAGGCAAATGAACTGAGACAAGTATAAACTGTGAATACGTTAAAAGAGCAGAGTTACTTTTCATGCGAAAATGTATCGCCAAGATGAGATCACTATCGCACATGTCATTTCTAGCGCCTGAGACATGGGGACCGGAACTTGTAGTCGGTTGCCTGCAGGTTGCATGAAATTAATTCCATCTAAATGTCAATTAAATTGATGAACAATGCTCAACAGGTATCGAATCAAGGAGGTCTGGAGGCTCGTTCACACACTTGCGAGTCCTTAGAACCGGGTGCCTTGAAACCCCTTAAATTCTCTTAGGACTAAAGAGAACACATTGGCACGCTGGCGCCATCTATGCAGTGACCCTGGAACTGCATTTCACTGGAGCGAAGGTTTTGCAGGATTTCTGAGGTCAAATGTGCGTAGTACCTACGAGAAATGGTCGTTTATATCGCTGGCAAAAGTTTTTCCAGCCTACAAAGTAAGGATGATGCGCGAGAGAAAGAAAATGTGTGGGACAGCCAAGTTTCCACTGCTACGCAGTAGATGGCGCCAGTGTGTCTTCTCTTAGTAAGAGATTTTAAGAGGTTCCAAGGTCTTAAGAAGTTGCAAGTGTGTGAATGGGCCTTAATTTACGGGGCAACAAACACGCGGCATGTCCTACCTACGTCGTGTCCATTGCAACTTTTTTGCTTATTTCACTTCTGGGTGAAGTCGCAACCAACGTCAGTGGCGCACACACCGCCGCTCCTTCCGTCAGACGCAACAGAGCCCGCGAGGCAGACACTTCCTCTACGCACATCGTGTGAGAGATGGTGCAACTGTTTGTACTAGACGCGCGTGCCACATAAGTGACAATGAGCAGCCATCATTGCCTGCAGCAGTCTCCGTTTTAGAGCGCAGCTCTTAGGGGCTCGTTCCCGGCTTGAGCGGCGTCGCCGTCGGCGTAACCAAGGTCACCCCAAGGTCACGTGGCCCCAAGGTCACGTGACCTTGGGGTGTCACGTGACCTTGGGGTCACGTGACACCCCCGCCGAGGTCACGTGACCTCCCCGATGACGTCATCGTCGCTGATGACGTAACCGGCATCCGCATCGTCACTGATGACCTCACCGGCATCCGCATCGTCATCATCACTGATGACGTCATCAGTGACGTCACTGATGACATCATCGGCATCGTCACGTGACCCCCTAAGGTCACGTGACCCCCCCAGGTCATTTCACCCCCCCAGTACCCTTCCCTCCTCAAGAGCTGCGCTCTAATTCGGTGTTACAGGGAGTTGTAAACGGCTTTCATTTTTTTGATCATGATGAAAGCAAGATTGGGCAAGAAGTATTTCGCCTCGGGCGAAACAAATTAAGACAAGCGAGCTTCGTTTTCTCATTTCGACGAACAATCCCTCACTTTTGTTTTCCCCAAGGTCCAAGATGCACTTGCACTCACCTGGCGGCCTGGCTGACCGGAGGGCTGCTCGGGCAGGGGCGGAGGGTCCGGGAAGTCCGGGGGCTCCCCCTCCGCTACGTCCGCCACCGGCGGGTCCGGAAGGAGCAGGTCCGGGCCCTCTTCCGGGCGGCAGGCCGGCAGCGAGAAGCGTAGCCCCGCCTGCTCCAGCGGCTTCGAGAAGCGGGCATTCAGTGCCTGGATCAGTTTGGCCCTGCTCGATGCGTCGTCCGCTGCCCGGTCGCCGCCGTTGTGGTCCACCCGATCCGGGGCGATCCGCGGATGCTGTGGCGAGGCCACTGACGGTCCCTGGTTGCTTGAGATGGACGGAGTGCGGCGGATCGGCGGAGGAGGTGGTGGCAGCTGCGAGCTCCGTCGGACGCTGGATTTGGCCGGCAGCGTTGACGAGCCGGACAAGCCTGCGCGGACGAGCGGTGGTTTAGACCACGGTATTCCAACTCTGATGTTGGTCCGTGACTAGAGTATCAGAAAGACATCCCCAGAGCAGGGAAACAAGACCCAAACACGGCTCAATCTTATTTTCATAGAAAAGTGCCGAAATGCCACAGAGAAGGAAAGCAATCGCCCCCTTTCCTCAACTATTACGGCTAGACGGAACACAAAAGAAGACTCTTTCCTCATCTATTACGGCTAGACGGAACACAAAAGAAGACTTCCTCCCAACCGGATCCACAGTGGATCCCTTGTGTTCCGAGTGAGCTAAGCAATCACCCTCTTTCCTCAACTATTACGGCTAGACGGAACACAAAAGAAGACTTCCTCCCAACCGGATCCACAGTGGATCCTTTGCATTCCGAGTGAGCTAAGCCATCACCCTCTTTCCTCAACTATTACGGCTAGACGGAACACAAAAGAAGACTCCCTCCCAACTGGATCCACAGTGGATCCTTTGTGTTTTGAGTGAACCTAAGCAATCACCCTCTTTCCTCAACTATTACGGCTAGACGGAACGCAAAAGAAGACTCCCTCCCAACTGGATCCACAGTGGATCCTTTTTGTTCCGAGTGAGCTAAGCAATCACCCTCTCTCCTCAACTATTACGGCTAGACGGAACACAAAAGAAGACTCCCTCCCAACTGGATCCACAGTGAATCCTTTGTGTTCCGAGTGAGCTAAGCCATCACCCTCTTTCCTCAACTATTACGGCTAGACGAAACACAAACGAAGACTTCCTCCCAACCGGATCCACAGTGGATCCTTTGTGTTCCGAGTGAGCTAAGCAATCACCCTCTTTCCTCAACTATTACGGCTAGACGGAACGCAAAAGAAGACTCCCTCCCAACTGGAACCACAGTGGATCCTTTGTGTTCCGAGCGAGCTAAGCAATCACCCTCTTTCCTCAACTATTACGGCTAGACGGAACACAAAAGAAGACTCCCTCCCAACTGGATCCACAGTGGATCCTTTGTGTTCCGAGTGAACCTAAGCAATCACCCTCTTTCCTCAACTATTACGGCTAGACGGAACACAAAAGAAGACTTCCTCCCAACCGGATCTACAGTGGAGGATGGCTTCTTCCTTTGTGTTCCGAGTGGGCTGCTGTTCAAGGACCGGCTCTACTGCGCATTCTCACATTGCCACGACCGGCCGTCCCCAACCCGTCCGTGGCCGTGCAAGCAGTGCTGCCAGGACGCGGGACTCCCGTCTTGTTCGGAAGCTCTTGAGAGCCACCGCCGCTAAACCCCTCCCACGAGCCCGAGCAGTAAAGAGGACCTTCGTATCGAGTAGATGCGCTGCTTGGAGAGTACGTCTTGTAGGACTCGTGCATCCGGAGTATGTCTGCATCCTCCGCTCGCGCTGCATTGCAGGCCTCCATGTTTCTCTGGCACAGACAAAAAAAAGATTGATCTCGTCAACATGGCCCCCAGAGATTCCACTTGAACAACTCTCACAGTACTGGGAGTTTGGTAAGAGTATGGTGGCTTAAAGGGGGTAGTGTGGTTATCGCGTAGCCTCCACCATGCATCGGGAACGGCCACTCCTTGGAAGTGGCCATTCCCAGGTGGCGCTTCGATCCGCAGCTCCGTTGGGTGCCTCCATCGGCCGGCATACAGAGGCACCCTAACACGCTTCATAACTAATATAAATACATAAAAAACAATTACTTGTTTTCAGTGAACTTCCAACGACATGATTTGTGTTCGAAGGGGAATAAAAAATGTGAAACTAGCAGACGACAGTGTAGTCGACAGCTGCGAATCGGCCGGAGCTGGCCGGAGCCAAGCTGACCAAGCGGCCAAGCCGGAACGACGGTGCTGCAAGCGCCAGTGCCACCCGCGGCCGTCTTCCAACGCTGTGCCGCTTCTCCGGTTTCGTACGTTACACTACCTCATGTAAACCACTGTAGTAAGAGTGAACACTGGAAGACCTTAAATAACCCCTTAACTCTATTTCTAAATGGGGTGCAGAAATACTTCTATCAACCAAAGCCACCCACAAGAAGCCCGAAATTACACGTACGTCCCGAGCCGAAAAGGGGCATGCCCGTCCCTCGGGCAGGGGGACACGCAGTGCAAGGAAGCCAAAGGAGAGGCACCTAGAGGCGTCCGACAAGAGACGCTGGGCCAATCAAATGCTTCGAAACGACGCGCACTTCAATGTACAGTGCCCACTTGTCTACGGAGTGCTCAACTGCTGGCATTCGCAGTAACTAATCTACAGGGTGAAACAAGGAGATGCCAGGCTCTTTAAATCGACCGGAAAATTTGGTTTCTTAACCTATTGCGCTACGACTTTGTGCAGCGTTGCCCACAGATGGTGCATTTTTCTTTTGTAAAATTTGCAAAGAGCAAACTTACCCGAGGAAAAAGTAAGAAAGAAAAAGCCTTAGCTCCTATGGAAATGCAGCGACGCCACCGGCCTGCAAACAACACGGCGCCGTTTCGCACGGGAGACAAGAGATGGCGCAACAAACGCCGCCAACGAATGAGCATACGGTGCCGAGAGCCGGCCTTTTTAGCAAAACAATCTTTTCGACTCAAAAGCGGCACGCAATCCGCAAGCGGCGACAGTCGCAGAAACAAAAAAGACAGGCGCGGTAACAGCAAGGAACTGCAGTTCCTTGTCTGATAAGGGCCGGCTGTCGGCGTCGTATGCTCGTTCGTTGGCGGCAGTTGGCGTTGCGACCGCTTGCGCCATCTCTTGTCTCCTGTGCGAAACAGCACCGTGCTGTTTGCAGACCGGTGGCGTCGCTGCGTTTCCATAGGAGCTAAGCCTTTTTCTTTCTTTACTTTTTCCTCAGGTAAGTTCGCTCTTTGCAAATTTTACAAAAAAAATGCACCATCTGTGGGCAACGCTGCACAAAGTCGTAGCGCGATAGGTTAAGAAACCGAATTTTCCAGTCGATTTAAAGAGCCTGCCATCTCCTTGAATCACCTTGTAGTCCCGTGGGGCAACGTCCCACGGGACTACAGAGCAGCAGGCAGGACACCCCGCCCGAAGGGTGTCCTGCCTGCTGCTCCAATCGGGGCGCCCAACGTGGGATATTGCTATCACGCTCTTCGTAAGTATCATAGAGGCCTATGAATAGAAAACAAAAATAAAGCAAAAAATTGCAATGCTGTGCTTTTGAAATTCGTCGTAACTCTTATCAAGCCGGCAGGACACCCCTCGAACGGACTGTTCCATGTTGCCGCACGTGACAACCGTAGAGTTCCAAAAGAATGCCCACCCAAAATGGTGAATGGTGAAGAACATGAGGTGGGCTACCTTTGGGGATGCGACAGCAAAACTTCATCAAAAATTGATGATAAACACCCTGGCACCGGCTACAAACCACGTGACGCGGGAACTGACACCGCAGGTCGCGGACACTGCAAATTCGCGTTTTACGACGCGATAAACACGTGGGAATCTGCCACGAACTCCCGTTTCACGGGAAAGAATACCGCAGGTTACAGACGCGGCAGATTCAAGTTTCATGGTGCAATAAACACGCGGGAACCCGCCACAGATCTGCGTGTTGCGGGAACCGACGTCGCGCGTGCACATCGCGGACAAAAACATGGGAATCCGCTACAAACTCCCATGTTACGGGAACAAATACTGCAGATTGCGGATGCAGCGAGATCGTATTTCACGAAGCAACATACAAGTGGGAAAAACTCGCATGTTACGGGAGCCGGCATCGCGCGCGAAAATCGCAGACGAAAACGCGGGAACCCTCTACGAACTTCCTTGTCAGACGTGCCGGTACAGCGAATTGCGAAGTTGATGCGATTCCAGTCGAAGGGAATCGGGTGGGCGATGTTTCGGAATTTTCATGCTACAGGTATTTAGCCAAAAAAAGTGAAAGCCGTTTACAACTCCCTGTAACGCCGAACTGGAGCGCAGCTCTTGAGGAGGAGAGGAGGGAAGAATACTGAGGGGAGGGTAGACCCCTCCTTCTCCTCCTCCTCATCCCCTCATTCTTGAATACGCTCCGGGGGGGTGGGGTGTTACGTGACTTTGGGAGGGTGGTCACGTGGCCTCGGGGTGAAATTGGGGGGTCACATGACCTTGGGCTTGGTTTACAATGCCAAGTTCTCTTTCTGCCACATCACAGGAAACAACTCAGATACAACTCAGATGACAGACCGCCGCCACAACCAATGCACAGGAAAGTGACCTTGCAGGAGGTCAGCTCACTGGAGAGTCAGGAATGGAGACATACCGTGCAGAATGACTCGCTAAAGGGGCTAGCGAAGGTCATGCGCTCGAGAAATGCAGGACGCGCATCACCAAACACAGAGTGGCCGAAGTGGCAACTGCCCGGAAGCCCGGCCACAACACATCAACGAGAACTGTCCCACAAGTGCACCAAACTGGAAATGCTGCTGCAGCTGATCCTCGACCACCTTGAGAGCACGATCACCTGGAGAGCACTATCACCCACACATGCAGTCTCCTCCCCCTGGGAATCTCGTCGAATTTCATACTCTGTCCAACTGGGCAAATCTTGACCCAATAGACCATTTGCGATGTCCCCCAGGTGCCCCGGCCCGCGCTAAAAGAATCATGGGAACGGTGTTCCTTCAGTCCCTTAGTGATCGGTAATTTTGATGCCATTCTTTGTTACACAGGTTTTGAGCGTAATTTGGAGTCACCCTGAACAAGCGCCTGATATACCCCGATGACCTGTCATGTCACTTTTAAAATTTCTCCTTAATGTAAGCGTTTTTGATACTGTGCATGCTGTCCACCCTTCAACCTGGATGGGCTGCAGAAATCTCTTACATTATTATCATGCTGATATTAAGTTAGAGACGTTAAAAATGCTATAAACAGCCCCGCGGACTCCGAGCTAAATCCTGGTTTTTGTTGTTGTGAATCATTGGCGTTTTAAGCGATTCCTGCTCAAACAACAATCACGAGAATGATAATATTAAGAGATTTCTGCGGCTCACCCAGGTTGAAAGGTGGATCGCATGCGCAGTATCAGAAATGCTGACGTTGACGAGCAACTTTAAAAGTGATATGACAGGTCCTTGGGGTATATCAGGTGCGTGTTCAGCGCGACCTCGAATTACGCTAAAAAAACTGTGTAACCCTGGAGTTGGTCAAAAATTAGCGATCACTAGGGAGCTGGAGGAACACCATTCCCATGATTCCTTGAGTGCAGGCCGGGGCGCTTGGGAATATTGCAAATGGTCTATTGTCTTGCCAGCTAAAGTCAAATTTGGGGGTTTTACGTGCCAAACCAACGACGGGCATCTGGCACGCCGGCCAGCGGAGGACTGAGGATTAATTTGGACCACCTGGGGATCTCTTGACGTGCAACCGAAAGCTCGGTTACACGGCGCCTCCTCCGCAATAAGCCTCCATCGGATTGCGGTGCACCTCGGCAGGGATTCGAACCCGCCACATGGGGATCCGTAGGCCAGTGCTCTCGCCTCGGAGCCACCGAGGCGGCTTCGTCTTTGTCTTGCCAGCTGGCTAGAGAGCTGGCTGGCAGGCCAGTCGGATGGGTCGAGCAAACAAGCAGTGCAAATGAGCTCATGCAGAAAAAAAAAAGTCTAAAATGTAGGAAAGAAAATACTGTAAACAACTTAAATTTCGCGGGCGGCTCAAATTTTCGCGAATCGAGTCAAAGCTGAAAATTTGAAATTATTCGCGGGTTCCAATTTTCGCGAATCGTGTAGTTTTCGTAGCGTTCACGTATCGCCCGAAATTGTTCGCGGGACGCATCTTTCGCCAATTTTTTGCAATTCGTGAAATTCACAAAAATTTAGTCGTTTACAGTACGTAGAATAGTGTTGCCAAATTTTAAAGGGACACAACAGCATTTCCAGTATTGGGAAGTACTTTTTTTTATGCATATTGTACTTAAAGTACTACTTCAAGTAGGTTTAGAAAGCATGTACTTTAGTTGAAGTACATTCCCCAAATTTGGTCTCGTTAAATTGGTATCACAAAATGATGCTCTGTGAACTCTGCAGAAATACTGGAAGTAAGCAGACGACGCATGGCAAAGCATTGGAGGGCTCAAGACTGATACAAATAAGCGCCCAATAAGCTTATTGTGCGAAACAGTTTGTCAGCGGGTGTAGAACAACCGTTTCTGCGAACATTTGACATTGTCCAATGTTCCCCTCCATTTCCAAAAATACCCGACGCACCCCCAGTACCGCCGGGGTCAAAGGGAGAATTAAAGATTGTGTCAAAAAAGTACTTGTACTTTACCTTGAAAGTACACTATATTTATAGCATTCTACTTTAAGGACATTGTGCCCGGTGTACTTACTCCTTCACATGATGTACATAACCTCTCATTTACTTTGAACTTGAAGTACTTTTTAGATGTACTCCTCTACTCAACACTGACCATTTTCAATATTTTGAAATCCACTTAAACACACAACAGTATCTTCTTTATAACTATTTACCTATAAAAAAACCAAAAACAGTCAAAGAAGTTCTAGAGTCTAAAATGTCTGTTTCTATAAAAAAAAAAGAAAAAAGTATGATCCTGTTGGAGTTGTTTAGGTACTTTGAGCTTTCCATCCCTTTGTAAAAGGAGCTTGGAGCAAACTTTCAGGGCACAGCCAAAGTGAGGGAGGGGGCAGTTCAGTCAAGGTTCAAGGTTCAGTCGAAGTGAGGGGCAGTTCAGTCAAGGGTCAAGTCAAGGTTCAAGGCCCCCAACTGAGCAGGGCGCTCAGCTAGAACCTTGGCACACTCACCGTCCGACTGTCCTGGCTGACTGGGCCAGAGTTTGGCCAGCCTGGGGGGGCCATGACATCTCCCACATTGGCGTAGATGGGCAGGACTGCACAATGAGATTGCATTAACGGACACAATGCATTTTCCTCGGAGCGTACGTCCACCACACTCGAGCAACGTCAGCGGTTTCAGAAGGGCCAAAGCATAAAGCTCCGTTCTACAGGGTGAAACAAGGAGATGCCAGGCTCTTTAAATCGACCGGAAAATTCGGTTTCCTAACCTATCACGCTACGACTTTGTGCAGCGTTGCCCACAGATGGTGCACTTTTTTTGTAAAATTTGCAAAGACCGAACTTACCTGAGGAAAAAGTAAAGAAAGAAAAGGGCTTAGCTCCTATGGAAACGCAGCGACGGCACCAGTCTTCAAACAACACGGCGCCGTTTCAAGAGATGGCGCAACAAACGCCGCCAACAAACGAGCATACGGCGCCGAGAGCAGGCCTTTTTAGCATTCTTTTCGACTCAAAAGCGGCGCGCGTTCCGCAGGCGGCGACAGTCGCAGAAACAAAAACAGGCGCGGTATCAACAAGGAACTGCAGTTGCTTGTCTGCTAAAGGCGCCGGCTCTCGGCGTCGTCTGCTCGTTCGTTGGCGGCAGTTGGCGTCGCGACCGCTTGCGCCATCTCTTGTCCCCCGTGCGAAACGGCGCCGTGTTGCTTGCAGACCGGTGGCGTCGCTGCGTTTCCATAGGAGCTAAGCCTCTTTCTTTCTTTACTTTTTCCTCAGCTAAGTTCGCTCTTTGCAAATTTTACAAAAAAAAAATGCACCATCTGTGGGCAACGCTGCACAAAGTCGTAGCGCGATAGGTTAAGAAACCGAATTTTCCGGTCGATTTAAAGAGCCTGCCGTCTCCTTGTTTCACCCTGCATAGCTGTTCCTAGAAGTTAGTCTCCCTCCAGAGGGCAAATTAACTTGAGAAAGAATCCCAAAACATTTAGTGAAAGAAAGATGTACAATCAATTACGGACCTCTACGCTCGATTTACTTCGCTCCTATGCATGAAGTGGTATACAAAGAATGTGTGCAGTATTTTGTGCAGTCGCTTATCTGCTTACCCACACTCCTGCAGCTCTTTCAAGCCTCCCAGTGATGTCTAATCACGCCACATGGTGCTGGAATATTGCATTTAAGGCCCGTTCACACTCTTGCGACCGAGTACGACTGAGAGAGACGAGATCTCTTAAAACTTCTTAAATGTATTTTGAATGAGGGAACACACTGGCATTCTGGCGCCATCTATGCGGTAGCCCTGGAACTACATTTCACAAGAGCGAAGGTTTTGCGGGATTTCCGAGGTCAAATGTGCGTAATACCCACAGAAAGGCTCGTTTATAACATTGACAAAAGTTTTTCGAGCCAAGAAAGAGAGGATAATGTGCGAGAAATAAAAAAAAAATATATGCCGGACCGCCGAGTTTACACTGCTTCCCAATAGATGGCGCCAGTGTGTTCTCTGGTTTAAGAAGTTTTAAGGAACCCAGGTTTAAGAGGTCGCAAGAGTGTGAACGGGCCTTTACGCGAATGTAGGTCGACCCTTTTTTAAAATTTTTGAAAATCTGAAGTGGGGGGGGGGGGGTCGACTTATGATCGAACCAAAGCATTCCACCGTCGGCAAAAACGAAACGATCGCAATGTCATCAACTAACTCGGCTTCAATGTTGCTCAGCTTCTTAATGCCCGCGTCCCACTAGAGCGACAGACAGAGACAAAAGACAGCGACAAGCCTCAAACCCATGCAGCATGCTCGTGATGGCACCTTTGGCAGGCGTTTAGTCATTCGGTGCTCGCGAAGTAAGCACGAGCGATTGCAAGCCTGCCAAAGATACCCTCGCGTGCATGATGCTCGTGTTTGAGCATAGCCTCCGTTACTCTACAAAGCGTCTCAAAACGCGAAGGACTCTGGTTTGAGGCTTGTCTTTGTCTTCTGTTTCTGTATGTCGCTCTAGTGGGACACGGGTATAAGAGTTCAGCAGGCTATACACTATTCTTTGCGCTCATTTTACAAATTAATGATTTTTTTTTATTTGCACAAACGGGTGCTATTGATAGCGATTCGCAAATTAACCGCGCACGGCGCACCCGACTCTCGAGGGGTGCCAGCACTTCTTGTAAGAGCCACTCCGGAGGCCGCTGGAACAGCCTCGCTACCCGCAGCTTCTCTTCGCAGTTTTTGCGCGATTCGCGGTCGCACGTCGTTTGATCGAGTGTCGAGATTGTGCTGGAGCGCTAACTATGTTTATTTTTTATTGAAACGCTTGATCCGGGCCATTTAGGTTTTCGGTGCTCGTTTATGGCCGTTCTTCGCTCGGAAGCAACCAACAAGTGCGCTGGTGGACGCAGGTTCGACCCGACGGAGCGGGCGATGCTCCAGTGGAGTGGAGTCTCCAATGGCGCGGGATCTTTATTTGTGCCGACAAGCAGCTTTCAGGCCAAAGTCTAGATAGGTGGGGGATGCCTTTCGGAGTTGGAGGTCAGGCTTGCAACGTACGCCACAGTCAGTGGCGTACCAAATTGTTTTTGATTGGGGGGGGGGGCAAACCACACCCCAGACCCCCCCCCCCCCTAGGGCCGGGGGTAGTGCCCTTGGTATCCCTTGGGCACCGCCAGCCAGTACTTGCCCTGCCCAGTGGCGGCCGTTTCAAGGGGGGGCAAAACACACGCCTTGCCCCCCCAATCTAAAAACTGTGGGGGGGGGGGGGCAAGCGCACCCCTTGCCCCCCCCCCCCCCCCCCCCCCCGGTTGGTACGCCCATGGCCGCAGTCCCTACCCGGGACGTCCAACGCGATCGCCGAGCAAGCAGGGAAGACGCGGTTGATCCTGTCGTTTGCGAAGTGCGAGATTTCGTTGGACGACTCCGACGACGTGCTTCGAGAACCTGGCAGCGATTACGACGGGACTGACATCACCAGTGCGGACGAGTCGTAGTCCAGTTGCGGACGGAGTGAGAAAGACAGTGAGCAGCTTCAGTTGTCCCGCCTGCGGCGTGAACTTCCTAGTTTCGACAACGCCTGAGCATCTCATGCACCTCGCGCCTGCATGCGCAGCAAAAGCATGCCAGAAGGCATCGATCGCGTGAAGCTTGGCTTTCGAAACAGATGCATTGCCGTTCTCCTCACGTGTTCGCAGTAAAATGCGCATCTAAAGATATTTTTCTTTTGCTGATGTGCAATGTGGGGAAGTCGACTCGTGTAAATATAGCTGCACTTGGTGTAGTACAGCAATTCCTTGGCCCAGCGGTCGAGTGTAGGGCTCGTTAAAGTGGTACTCCGGCCAGTTTTCGAGCTACCTCAACTGACTATATTTTCTGACTCCCCAGCCTTTACCCTTTCTGGTATGCTATTTAGTACCGCGAAATTCATAATAGTTATTGCGAAATCGGCAAATAAAAATGATGCAAAAGCTAACATTCAAATATACCTGCACTTTTCAGTGCCGTGACGTCAGTGGAGGGCAAGCTTGCCAGTCGAGCGAGCAGTCTAAAAAAAAGAATATGCCAATCATTTGTTCAGTGCTGGACCGCGGGGACCGGAGCGAGCCTCCAAAGCATTCATTTGACATCATGAAACTGCTTCGAATCAGTTGGGAACAAAATCTACAGTCCAAAGAGTGAACCCCTGCACTTCCACTGACGTCACTCTTTCGTTGTTGCCAGTAGAGACTTAGTTTGAAAAACACGGTGAGGACCAAAATTGTGAATTCAATAACTTTGTGAAAAAAAAAGTGAAAGCCGTTTACAAATCCCTGTAACGCCGAATTGGAGCGCAGCTCTTGAGGAGGAGTAGGGAAGGGTACTGAGGGGGGTCACGTCACCTGCGGGTAGTCACGTGACCCCCGGGGGTCACATGATCTCGGGGGAGGGGGGGGTCACGTGACCTCGGGGGGGGGGGGGGGGGGGGGGTCATTTGACCCCCCCCCCCGGTTACGCCGACGCCGCTCAGGCTGGAAACGGGCCCCTAAGAGCTGCGCTCTAAAAAACTATTTCGACCTAAGATTTGGGACACTATTTTCGGCCATGTTGTTTGGCGAGTTTAGCAAAATTTCAAGCAAATCGGGGACCATGAAGAAATGGGCGGAGTACCCGTTGATCCTTTCGTCTCCTCTTAGTTGGTCCGCTCCCAGCCGGCCGAGCCCTTCCAGATACGGAAAGCAGGAGCTGGAAAAGCCTCACCTTGGCACGCCAGGGGTTCGTGAAACTCGGGCAGCGTGGGCACCCTGGGAGGCTGCACGGGCTTGAGGGCTGCAGGCCTCTCGGGCAGGGAAGGCACGGCAGAAGTGGTCCTGATCCACCAACAAAGCCCTTCTCAGCACTCCAGACGAGCACACCGCACTCCAGGCGAAAATCAGTCCACTTCCAGCTGGATTATGGAACTGGAAAAAAGGCGGTCCAGCTGGATTCCAGCTGGACCCAGCTGGAATCCAGCTGGACCGCCTCATTTCCAGTTATAAGGCGGTCCAGCTGGACCCAGCTGAAATCCAGCTGGACCGCCTCATTTCCAGTTCCATAATCCAGCTGGAAGTGGACTGATTTTCTCCTGAGATGGCTCACCAAGGCCTGTCTTCAGGCCAGTTGCACAAAAGAAATGCCCTCGACAGCTTCTTCCATTGCAAGACACTGACGTAAAATACACCTCACCAAGTGGGTTGTGGGAGCATCGACTGTGAAACCTCGTTATTTATTTCCCCTTTAAGTTTATTATGCTCAAAGATGTTTGTTGCAACGTGTAGTAGGAGGGGAATCAAAATGAATACACTGGCAACACAAAAAAAACTAAGTTTGAATCACAAACTTAAAACAGACTATACTGTACAGAATCCAGCTCGAGGGGGACGGAGGTATAATTTCCCTACCCCACTCTGTGTGTATCCATGATGATGTGTAGACGGCAACATGCTCGTGGCTATAGTGCAGTGGCAATGCACCAACAGCCGATGGTAGACAGTGAAAATCACAAACGTTTAAAGAGCCGCATTTCTGGCACACACGTGACATTTACGAGGGGAGAGTACAAAATTTCTCCCCGGGGCCCGAGGTACGACCAACTATCGTAAAATCCCACAAGTACATACCCCCAAAATGAAGAGAGAAATGGTGAAAAATATCGGGTGCCCACCTTTGGGAATGCGACCGCAAAATTTAATCAAAAAATCAAGTTCATTTAAGCCATCGTGTAAAGTGTGTCAAAGCAACAGCAGCTAGGTGCTATTATTTTGATGTCGTCGTTTCCACCCAAGTAGCACACCAGAGGAATGCCTGACTTGGCCCAAGTTTGGCAATCCTAGGGGTCTACTACAGTTTTGCTCCAAGGAGCTATAGTGCCAAAGTAATTTGGCTTTTCTCTGGTTCACAACATCCAAGCCAAAGTGACATACTTCAGACGAATTAAGGGGGAAGGCTGGTCTTTAACTTTGTGTTTTTTATCTTTCATTTATCGTGCTGAAACTTAGTATACTCATGTATTTCTCAGTGGTGATTTCAAATACGCAATTAGTTTTCAGGTAGCTCTACTAGATCTTGAGTTATCAATAAATTAGTCATTTTAATTAGGTCCTCTTTGCGGGTCGTTAGCGTAAAATTGTACAGAATATATCGGTAATATTTATAGAATTGCACTCATCAGGACATGTTTTGTGCGGTGATGCTATTTTTGTTGCTTTATAGCTCATACAATAATTTTAATTTAGTCTCAAAAAGATGTAGCCTCCCCTTTTGTGCAACTTGATTGCAAATGTTTTTTACCAATGTAATATCATTATATCAGGCTTAAAATAGCATCACCGCACAAAACATGTCTTGGTGAATGCAATTCTATAAAAATTTGTTATATTCTGAAGAATTTTATGGTAACGGCCCGTAAGGAGGACCTAATTGAAATGAAAAATTTATTATTAATCAAGGATCTAGTAAAGCTATCTGAAACATAATCGTATATTTGAAATCACCACTGAGAAATACATCAGTATACTAATTTCAGCACGATAAATGAGAAATAAAAAACGAAATGTTAAGAACCAGCCTCACCCCATAAAGGCCCGTTCACACGTTTGCGTTTCACTACGACCGGTTTTAATATGAAAGCACTCCTGGAGCGGAGTTGGCGGCATAGAGGGGCCGTCGCAAAAGGCAATAAAAATGCCTGACGGGGCGTCAACCACCTACCCCACACACAAAGGCAGTGTAAGGAAAACTTGCAAACGCAAGCAACTATATGAAAAACATGAGCATAACAATGCATACGGGATAGCACTGCATAAAAGTCAAGAAAATAAGAAATAACATGCCATGATAAAAAAAAAGGCATAAAACATGACACAGCACACATAATGGCACTCCAAAGAGGAACAAAAACTGACAAAGGGGTCACTCCTGATATGACAGAAAGCACATATTTATTTTTAAAGCCTGAATTGATGTACTGTCTTCGATTATAGCCATCAGATCAGGATGGTCATTTAGAAGGATGGGTATTTGGTTAGATAGTTTCTGGTTGCCATAGTTTGTGCATACCTTTTCTCTTGTCTAGTTTGGGGATCTAAGATGGTAAGTATGTTCTCTCCAAAGGTACCGTTGAAAAAAGGCTGTTCGTTAGGACTTTATTTGATTATAAGTTTTTAATGGCCATTTCTCTCTTATAACGTTTTGAAATGTTAATTACTGGTGCTTTCTGAAAAGCGGAGCAGTACGACTTCTGTACGGTGCATTTTCTATTAAATGCAAGACTTGCTTTTGCACTGTGTATAGACGCTTTCAGCGAGTCAGTTACTCGAGCTGCCACCAGTCGGCGCGCCCTTCGCGCGCTTTCCGGGCCGCCATAGCCGACCTTCAGTTTCTCGCCGTTGCTCCGTGTTGTGTGCTGCACAGGCCACTACCAGAGCTTCGTTTTCGTCTTCTTTTACGTTCCGCGTTGAAATCTTGTATTTTCTTTAGGTCCTTTCGATATTTAGGACTCTCATTTAATCATTTGATATTCATATTTCGACATAGCTCTTGTATTTTCTTATTTATGGAATGGAATCGGACAGCGAATGGGTCGACGATACAAGATTATGACGCTTCAATGACCATGTAAGTTCATCCCATTCTTACGTTTTTGTCGCTTATCAAGGGCAGTCAACACTATTGCGACATATGCAAAGTGCAACTGATGCAGTAAGGCTATCACAGTCGTGCTTCTCGCTGCATGTGCGCGCTCGTTTCCGTAAAGCCGACTCGGATGTAAGCGATTTAGCGTGTGACGAAACGAGCGACGGAGATTTCTCACTGTCGCCCGTCGCATCGCTCGGTTTTGGGATTTCTAGAAAATGTCGCTCACCGTCTTGGTCGCTTGCTCCGTCACTTCCATGCGGTTTGCCTCGTCGCGGGAGTGACTGAGCGACAGCGAAGCGCGTCGCCGTCGCTTATCTGGTCGCTCGCCAAATCGCTTACATGCGGTTTATACTCAATTAATTTACAGGCACACAGCATTGAACCATTGGCGCCTCGATATTAAGTATAAACCGCATGCAAGCGATTCGGCGAGCAACGAGACAAGCGCCGGTGATCCGCTTCGCTGTCGCTCGGGCAGTCGCGCGACGAGATAAACCGCATGGAAGCGACGGGAGCAAGCGACCGAGACGGTGAGCGACGTTTTCTAGAAACTAAAAAAAACCGAGCGATGAAACAGGCGACAGTGAGAAATCTTCGTTGCTGACTCTCGTCGTTGTCGCCTCCGCTCGTCTCGTCGCACGCTAAATCGCTTACATGCGGGTCGGCTTTACGGAAACGAGCGCGCACATGCAGTGAGAAGCTCGACTGGATAGCCTTACTGCTTCTGTTGAAATTTGCCTATGTCGCAATGGTGTTGACTGCCCTTTATTAGCGACAAAAACGTTAGAATGGGATGAACTTCATGGTCTCTGAAGCCATAATCTTGTATTGTCGATAAATTCGCTGTCAGATTCCATTTCATAAATAAGAAAATACAAGAGTTATGTTGATATATAGATATCGAATGATTAAATGAGAGCCCGAAATATCGGAAAGACCTAAAGAAAACAAACGATTTCAATGCGGAACGTAAAAGAACGCGAAAACGAAGCTCCGCTAGTGGCCGGTGCAGCACGCAACGCGGAGGAACGGCGGGAAACCGAAGGGCGGCTATGGCGGCAGGGTCACGTGACGTCAAGATGGCGGCGCCCATGAAATGTTGCCTGAAAGCGTCTATAGGCTGTCTATATTTGTTTTTCTTGTTGTTCCCCAAACAAGTAGGCAGTAGTTAAAATGATAACGAACCAATGTGTAGTATAACCGTTTCTTTATTCGACGTGGTAATGAACGTCCAACTTTACGGATAATACCAAAGGAGCGCGAGATCTCGGATCTTAGTTTGTCTACACGAAAAACCCAACCTAATGTTCCGACGATGTCCCCCTCCCCGACAATTTCAGGTTGGCAGACACCCCCCAAACTTGCGCACAACAAGATCACCCCTTTCTCAAACACAGCCCATTTCCAAAGTGGTGCAAGCCCGAGTAAACATCAGTCCACTTCCAGCTGGATTATGGAACTGGAAATGAGGCAGTCCAGCTGGATACCAGCTGGGTCCAGCTGGATTCCAGCTGGGTCTAGCTGGACCCAGCTGGACCCAGCTGGACTGTGGTGCAAGGAAAGAAGAGAGACTCCTCTGAACCGCTCTACTCGACCCCGAACGACGTGCTTCAAACGCTGCCTTCAGACGCCGCGAGGTTTCAAGGGTGGCTCACCGGAGCGGGACCGGGGGGCGGGGCCCTCGGGTGGGCGGAGCCTCGTCGCCTTCCGAGGTTGAGGTGAGCGTGTCGGCGCTGCCGCTGTGGTTCGACCCGCTCTGCAGGTCCCCCTCGAGCGGCTGGAACGTCTCTGCTGTGAGCAGAGGTCTCGCCTGGTGGCCCGCCCGCTCGTACGCTGCACCCATTTAAAAGTAGCGCTAAAGACGAGGACAAGTAGAAGACACGGACAGGCGCTGACTCGCAACTGATATTTAGTGAAGAGTAAAAGGAAGATGAGGCAGAAGTGCCAGAACATATACGAAATAGGAAAGAAGACTAACCAAAACGAAAGAAAGCAACAATTATTTTTGACTTCAAAATTAGGAAATAAGAAAAAAAGTACGCTAAAAATTTAAAAAATTTTCACAAAAAAATCCAAATGAAAACCTAGTCCAATTAAATGAAAGAAAGAAAAAGAAACAGAAAGAAGAGGACTCTGAAAATTAATCTAGTTAAAATACGAAATAAGAAAGAAGACTAACCAAGACGAAAGAAAGCAACAGTTATTTTTGACTTCAAAATTAGGAAATAAGAAAAAAAGTACACTAAAAATTTAAAAAAAATTCACAAAAAAATTCAAATGGAAACCTAGTCCAATTAAATGAAAGAAAAAGAAAGAGAAAGAAGAGGACTCTGAAAATTAACCTAGTTAAAATACGAAATAAGAAAGAAGACTAACCAAAACGAAAGAAGGCAACAGTTATTTTTGACTTCAAAATTAGGAAATAAGAAGAAAAGTACGCTAAAAATTAAAAAAATTTTCACTAAAAAATCTAAATAAAAACCTAGTTCAATTAAATGAAAAAAAAAGAAAAAGAAAGAAGAGGACTGAAAATCAATCTAGTTAAACGAAGTTCTCACACAAAATATTGCAAGTACAGTAAAACCTCGTTACAACAAAGTTGAAGGAGCGGTTGTAATTATTTCGTTATAACCATTAGTTTGTTATAGCCCATGTCCATTTCTTCCCACTATTAGCAAGCAAGGGGAATTATGATTGCTTTGTTATATCCATTAGTTTGTTATATCCCGTTTTGTTATAACGAGGTTTTACTGTAGTGCAATTCCCTCGCCGATAAGGCTACCGACGGTGCACTGCTGCACGTGTCCCCTTTAGCTGCTATGACTTGCACCTCATACATTTCTCTTGTTCTTTGGTCACTGAACTTCCTTAGAATTTTTGTTCGATGCAATAGGGGAGTACACTTGCAATCTCGTACGTGTAGAGCAAGATGTCCCGCCAGTGAAGACTTAAGAGACAGTGCATGCTCTCGCAATCTCATGTTCACACACACGTACACCTTCCCACACGAGAACAAAATCTCGTATACTACGCCTCTAAGGCAGTTCACAAACTTATTAACATGCTTGACATCGCATTTGTCCTGTTTTTCGTGTTGAGAGTTGTGTGCACGCTTGTGCACGCAAGTGCTGGGACAACAGTCGGCACCAGGAGCCGCTCTGAGCTCAAACACGCAATGTAGCAAACCCATCCGCTTTCTGATGGGGACGCGCCAAAGATTATCACTGAACCCATTGGATGTTATTAGTGTGCACGCTTGAGCACACAAGTGCTGGGACAACAGTCGGCACGAGGAGCCGCTCGTAGCTCAAACACGCAATGTAGCAAACCCATCCGCTTTCTGATGGGGACACGCCAAAGATTATCACTGAACCCATTGGATGTTATTAGTGTGCACGCTTGTGCACACAAGTGCTGGGACAACAGTCGGCACGAGGAGCCGCTCGTAGCTCAAACACACAATGTAGCAAACCCATCCGCTTTCTAAAGGGGCCAGAGATTATCACTGAACCCATTGGATGTTATTAGATAAATTCAATTGAATCGTAAGAGATCCGTCTGTCTGGGAAGTCTGCCACGTTTGGAGGGTCTGTGCAGTCGGCACAACTCTACAGCCCACTGGCACCAACTCGCACTCTCTCTCGGCATCTCACTCTTTTTCATTTCCCTTCCACATTTGAACACGTGATCGAGAAAACGTCTAAGCTCGCTTCATCGGGGAGTTCCGATGCCTCTGACATCCACTGCAGCAGCTGAAACAGTCATTGTCATCCAGAGATGTTTTAGGTTGGTCCTTCTGGCCATTGGCAACCAGCTCCATAGACAATGAAGACATTGCCGTGGACCGACTCGCCATCGCCCGCGACGATCTCACCATTGACACATTAAAGGGCAACACCGGTCAGTATTTTAGGGGCGAAGCTCCTTAGGGTCTAGCCTTGTCCGTCCGGCGTCCGTGCTCACATCGATTGCACTGCCTCCGGGATCGGCCCACTTTTAAAAAAAAAGCGTACGCCCGCACGGGGGTTCGAACTCAGGACCACTTGCTTACGAGGCAGACGTTTTAAACACTACGCTACACTCCAATGCTGCATGTAGCTGCTCAACGTCTATACAGGAGAGGGCGCTGCGGTCAAATACGTATATAATCGCGTTAAACTTTGCATGCATTGGCTCAACGTTTATAGACGAGAGGGCGCTGCGGTCTAATGCTCAAATGCGTAGAAACCACGTTCCATACCACACATTCTCTTTCTGACATGGACCGTTGACTTAAGCGGCGGAGATGAGTTCCCACGGCTTCTAGCGGATCCAAGCTGATCTGCAAGAAGAACCACTGGTTCTGCATTTCACCGACCATAAAGCAGTAATAATGAAAGTCGAAACACAACCCGGAACTCAGCACTACCTTAAGCAATAAAAAAAATCACCACCATCAGCACTACCTATGAACAATAAATTCAGTATCATCCGCACCACCAGAGCTTCGCCCCAATCAACATCATTCACCACGTGGAGATGTGGCCTCTTTTTTAAATCTGGGATTAAGACTTTTTTCAGCTATATCGGTGTCCCTCCATTACAAAATTTTTTTTTTCAATATTGCACATAGTTTTATGAATATTGCGGCTCGAAGTTTGGTTTCGGGCACCTACGGCAAAACCCAAAACTATCTGCTAGAGAGGGATGGCAACACTGATCATGAGCTGTGCGGCCGCGACGTGACGTCACGACGGTGCCGCAATGCGCGGTACAACGTGCGGAATCAACCACAGCACCATCATGACCCGACGGTAATGCCGCAGTACGCGTCGCCCAGTGTTACTCGACTAAAAGCTAACCCACTCGCCATCTGCTAAAGAGCGCGTGGTCGCATCTTTAAGGGGGGACACTACCCAAAAAAGTGAATTTTTGAACCAGTTGTCTCATTTAAATATTTACAGGGCTTGTTTCTGTTGATGTTGAGAACATTTCTGCCAAATTTTGTTAACCTGGGTGAAGTAAAAAAAAATTGCAAATGTTTAAAGATGAAAGTGGGCGAGTCTGTGCAGGAAAGCTATCGTTTTGAAAATACCTATAAATATGTCGTTTTCATGTGATATATTGCTTTAGGACAGTTCAGAGCAGATAGCTATGGAGCTATATTTCTATATTATACCATCTTTCATGACAAAAATGCTGCATAAACTCAAACACTGTTTTTTTAGATTTCCATTCTTTGTCCAAAATTTTCATTCTTGAGCATGAAAAATGACAAAAATAAAAAATACAAGCTCATAGCTATCTTCCCCTTTAAATTTCACTCTAGAAGAACTCATAAAAATGAATCCAAGTTACGTAATAACAAAATGATAGTTTTGCTAAAGTGAAATTTATGCCAAAAAGTGGAACGGAGAAAAATGTGTTCAAAGTGTTCCAACCCCTGCCTTTTCTTTAGCATCGGAGGACCGAAAATAATTTATAAAAAATTAACTATCCAGTGTAAACTGATGAAACTTTCTGGGAATACTCCCTAGGTGTTGGTGGATGTAAATATGACATTTTTTAAAATCAACTTTTTTTGCCGAAATTGTTTTTTTCTGGATAGTGTCCCCCCTTAAAATCAGTTTTAGTGGAATATGCGGCTTCACTTTTACATAATATCTCGAGCCACTAAAGCGACACCAGTCGTTTATTTTGGTCTCGTTTTCAACCGGAGTTTCAATCGTTTCAACTGGCACTAGTGACGTTGCGCGACGCTTCCAACTGCTTTCGCGTTGGGAGCTACGCCAGCACTCTCACATTGACAGCCAACTTCTGCGACCGGAGAGGAAACCAACGTGTATGCACCCAACAAGAAAGTTGCATCATGGCGAATTCGGGTGGTCAATCACCGGCAAGACCGAGCTGGCAACACCAGAAACGCGCCGGCGGCACACCATCTGACCCTCAGCACCCAACAAGAAACAAACGCCAGACGGTGGCAGTTTACTTTCGCCACTTGCCCGCAAGACAACACTCCGGAGGCTGTCCTCCGTTTTCCTTGTGGTATTGTCCTAACGGCTTGGATTGACTCGAGTATTGGCTGCTGATCAGCGACTTCGAATCAGTTACGATCTTTCCCCAATTTTTTTTCTCGCCAACCTCCTCTCCCATTTCGGAGGTGACGACACCGGATAGTGTTTAACAACCGGCCGTTCGGAGCTCGGGCGGAAAAAAGCGGTGGAAAGTTGATGGTGCTTGCCCAAAAACTAGCGCACTATATAGTTCCTTCGGAGCAGAGTACCGCAATCTAGAACGCCATTTCTCGGCGACTAGCGGAGAACTTCTGGAGGTTCCAACTCCGGTCAGAAATGCACGGGGAATGTGGGAAAATCGCTGTTTCTTCAATATTGTGAAGGTGTACAGAACGACAATAGTTTTTGACATAATAATGGAACATTTTAGTATAATTTACGCTAAGTTCCGTGCCACGTAAGGACCTAACTTTTTTTTAGTTCAATAGTTTTTAGTTCAATATTTTTGTTTCCTACTACTGAAACCGAGGTATACAGCCTAATACACAAACTTAAGAATAACAGTGCTTGTGGTGAAGATGGTATAAAATCCCAGCCTATAAAATCAGTTGCTCACTTAATTAGTGGGCCAATCTCACATATATGTAATCTAATTCTGAGTACCGGCATATTTCCCGATAAATTAAAGATAGCAAGAGTGTCGGTGATTCACAAAGGAGGTGATAAAAATGACCTAAATAACTACAGACCAATCTCCGTTCTTCCCATTTTTTCCAAACTCATAGAAGGAGCCATTAATGCACGACTAATAAATTTTTTTAAACAAAATAATGTTATAGCTGAGCAACAGTACGGCTTTCAGAAGCAAAAATCGTCTGAATTGGCGCTGCTAAACATCAAAAATAAAATAATTGACAATTTCGAGCAGAAGTTATATACAGTAGGAGTGTTTCTTGACTTCAAAAAGGCGTTTGATTCAATCAAGCATCATATTCTTTTCGGAAAATTGTCCAAATATGGAATTAGGGGAATCTCACTTAGTTTAATAAAAAGCTATTTATCAAATCGTTCACAATATACAGACATAAATCACGCGAGGTCAAATATGGGTAAAATAGAATACGGTGTCCCACAAGGGTCCATTCTTGGCCCTCTCTTATTTTTAATCTACATAAATGACATTATAAGAATACCTCAAACACCAGATATAATTTTATATGCTGATGACACAAACATATTTTTTTCTGGAAGAAGCCTAGAAGTACTTGAGCACGAAACGAACGCATGGCTTGAAAATTTATCATCGTGGCTTAGAGCAAACCAAATTCAATTAAACACGAAAAAAACAAAGTATATTATATTTCGACCACGAAATAAATGTATTCAGCAGGAGATTCAAATTCTATTTCAAAGCGAAATCATTGAGCGTGTTATATCACATAGGTTCTTGGGTGTTATGTTTCATGAAACTCTAAATTGGTCTTTCCATGTGCAGAGAATAAGAACGGAAATCTCACGCTCTATCGGGATTATCTATAGACTTAAAAATGTGCTGCCTCACTGGGTAAAAAAACAACTATATTATACCTTAGTTCATTCACGTCTTCACTACTGTCTCCTTGTATGGGGGACCACGGTAAAAACAAATATAGAAACCCTGCACAAATTACAGAAAAAGGCCCTGCGCTTGGTCGAAAATGCCCCGTACCGGAGTCACTCTGCTCCGCTCTTTAGAAAGCACCGAATATTAACTATTCAAAATGTTATAAATAAAAAATTATCTTTATTAATCTATAATCAAATCAAATTAGAACCAACTGTCTTTTTCAGTACATATCTTTGGACAGATCATCCCTACAATTTTCGGCACACCAGCTACAGAGGGCAAAAAATACGCACAAACTATGGCATACAAAAATTAGATTATCAAATACCTGTACTTCTGAATGACCACCCTGATCTCATGACCATTATTTTGGGAGGTATGTCTATACAAGCTTTAAAGAAAAACATAAATGTCTATCTATTGTCCCTTCAAAAATAACATGTTTTTTTTTTTTTTGTGTGTGTGTGCGCGTATATTGTTTTTTGTGCAACATCTCTTTGTAGAGACGGCTGACTGGCTGCACTATGTTGCTGTTTGTGGCCCCTTTGTTTGTCATGTTTGTGCAGGCATAAAAATTTATGTGCCTCGTTGTTGTTTGTCTTACGTGGGGGAGAGTCTGGTTTTAGTTCATTGTTTTCTCTTTGTATACAGTGTTCTGTACCACTTATGGGATTTTATGTTTGATCTTTCATGATCAAGTAGTTTTCGTCATCTAAGTCTCATTTTGTCTGGCCGTGGAGATGGCGGGGGGCTGTCGCCTTGTCAGGCATGTCAATGCCTTTTGTGACGGCCCCCCAGACAGCTGTATTCCTCGACGGTTGTCTAAATAAACTTTGATTTGATTTGATTTAAAAAATTGCCTGAGCGGCATCATGCAGCAGACGATGCGGCGACGTCACACCGTTCACGTGACCTGCTCCGGCCAATCCATAAAGTCCATCTTCGTTACGCAAAACAATCGTCTGCTTCAAACGCCATTACATTGGAAATTGCCTTCTCACATTTTTCACACGCATCCGATATTATTAAACCTTTGATAAAGTGTTCATTGCTTTACCAGCTTCACGACAGACTAGTTTCGAAAAGTGTGAACTTGGCGTTTATTTTTTAATCAGCCGTGTTGAGTTCCAAGTGTTCATCGTGTGTAAGCGGTGTTCATCGTGCGTATGCAAGCAACAGACTTTGCAATAACAAAAAATTCTTTCATGAGCATTTCTTGCATAAACAATGGAACTAATTTTTGAGTTTAATGTATCTCTTGTACAGCCGCGCTAGATATACAAAAAAAAAAGGAGTTTTTCAGCTTTCTGTTTATTAAACTTTTTGTGCTTACCCATCCAGTCATGACAACCCCCCCCCCTTTTTTTCATGATTTTCAGATGACTCAAGACATTACAGTAGACAATAATGATCACACACTTTATGGACGCCGTGGTGCAAACTGTTTAGGCAGACTGCGTCACAATGTATGGATGGATGCTAACGACTGTGCCCTTTGTAACGGGCAGTAGCTTGCGCCACCTAGCCAGCACTTCCTGGTTGCCAGATGCAAATTATCAAAATTTGTAAATTATTCCAATTACTAAAGCTCTAAAAATAGTGAAACTTGAGATTTACAGGGCGTTTTTTTTTTAACCTCACCGATATGTTTTAATAAAAGGATTGAAGGCTACAATAATGTGGTCTGTGCAGCCGAGTTACACGGCCAAGGGTTCAACATAAATGCCGGATAATTAACTAAAATTTGTTAAAGCCCTTTTTAATTAGTAAAAACATACAGCTTCAATTACAAACTTGCTGAACACCATCAAAAACCACTAAATCAGTAAATTTTAGAAAGCGCCTGTGAAGCACAATTAGCCCCCTATATAAGGTACAGTAAAACCTCCTTATAACAAAATGGGATATAACAAACTAATGGATATAACAAAGCAATCATAATTCCCCTTGCTTGCTAGTAGTGGGAAGAAATGGACATTGGCTATAACAAACTAATAGTTATAACGAAATAATTACGACCGCTCCTTCAACTTTGTTATAACGAGGTTTTTACTGTATCTGCCCCTGCCTGTAAACTCACCTTCACAGATCACATTACTGTAGCTTTCGCGGCTTCTTTCCAAACAAAGCCTGAAAAAAATATGCCCCATATACTGAGTAACCTACGAGCCCTTCACTTGGAGAGCAATCCACCGATTCCGTGTCCCTTTACTGCGGACATATCAAACAACATCTTAGTTGTTAGCAAAGTCTGGGTAATAAATACTGTTGAGGGCGTGTTGAACCCCTACAACAGCGTAGTGACTGCCCCACATCGTGGCGTCCCAGGCGAAATTCAGTCCACTTCCACCTGGATTATGGAACTGGAAATGAGGCAGTCCAGCTGGACCCTGCTGGACCCTGCTGGACCCAGCTAGACACAGCTGGACCCAGCTGGACCCTGCTGGACTGCCTCATTTCCAGTTCCATAATCCAGCTGGAAGTGGACCGATTTTCGTCTGGGTCGTTACGTTGTTCTTGTACCGTGAAGCGGTGGCAGTGCCAAACGAAAGCAAGAACGGTCGGCAACGGAAGGTTGCCCCACGTCGCGCCACCCGGCGTCGTGCGTCCAACGCTTGCGCCGTCCAATGGTCTGCTAATGCCCAACCCCCCCATCCTGCGCTTTTACTTTCGCAGTTGCGACATCACATATGACAAATCAAAAATAAAATAATGCAAATCGGACGAGGAAGACTGGGGACGTTTCGCTTCTGCTGCTTGCCATTGTTGTTCCTGAGGGACCGTGTGGTTTACATTTGGTTCTTACCGAGCTCGATGAATGCAAATTTCAGTTGCCAGAGCAATTCCCTTCGGAGAGTCACGTAAGCTACGAGAACCGAACACTTTATGCTAACTTTAAGAAGGTAGCAAGGCGGATGACAGAGCGCTGTAGTGGAGATGTTAACTTGCACGCAAAAAGTGAATAATCTCAATGGATTGTTTGAAGGCAGTAAACAAAGAGGCGAGCTGGCTTAGATTAAGATTACACATAATTAAAAGCAGATACAGTAAAACCTCGTTATAACAAAATGGGATATAACAAACTAATGGATATAACAAAGCAATCATAATTCCCCTTGCTTGCTAATAGTGGAGAGATGGACATTGGCTATAACAAACTAATGGTTATAACGAAATAATTAGGACCGCTCCTTCAACTTTGTTATAACAAGATTTTACTGTATGAACGGACGACAAGAAGGGGGCATGCCGACGACAAGTATGATATCCAAAAAATTACGACACATAACTTACGGCACGAGTTATTCCTTCGGGAGAGAATTCGCACAAATTACGGGTCACAGAAATTGAGCTTTTTGATTCCGGAATATTTAAACAAATTTTCAGAAGTATTAGATTTTATAAATTGCTCTTCTTCTTTGTGGAGCTTTCAAAAAAGAAATAAAAGAGTACATTTTTACGCTCTCGGCTGCTTCATGCTCTCCAGATTCAGATGATTATTATTTTATGCATTCATTTATGAATTGATTAAAGACAAATCATCCCAGTTTGTGTCTGGTTTGTGTTTAGTTTGTGTTTAATGTATGTCAAAACAGTCTCTGTGAAAATATTTTTGGCTTGAATTTTATATGCATGACCTCCCACCCTGAGAAGACTCGAGAGGCCCCTTAATAGAAAAACAGAATTGCTCACGTGACGTCGCTTTCCCCGCTACATTCAGCAGGATAATTGCACGAACGTCACGTGATGCCAAGTCATGCGACATAAATTTCTGTCAGCCTGGAACTGCGCAGACGGACGGACGGATCGCATTAGAAACCATTCCGTGCTTCAGAAACTTGGGCTGCTGCACTCGTCGGAACCTAAACAAAAGCTTGGGGGTGACGTGACCTTAGGGTGACCTTAATTACGCCGACGGCGACGGCGCTCAAGCCGGAAACGGGCGCCTAAGAGCTGCGCTCTAAAAAGGAGAGAGCACTTCATGTACTGCCTCGGTGTTCTAACATTGTTGGGGGGGGGGGGGGGGCTCTAGCGCATGCCCCCCCCCCAAAGGAGAGAGCAACTGCGGGCGGGCGAAGGGACGCTAGAGAAAGCTCACCGGAGGAGATGGTGTGCGGCCGCTGGCACTTGAGGACCGAACTCATGGCCCGCTCAAACTGTAGGGTGTCCTGCAGGTTGGGCCAGGTCGAGGTCACCGAAGGGGGGAACGGGGAAGCCGGGGTGCTCGACGCGCAGGCCGTCCCACCGGGGTCACACACCTGCAGGAAAGCACCCTTCGCCAATGCTCCCCACTCTGGCCTCAAAACACCCCGCTCTCTAGCCTCGAAACACCCCGCTCGGTAGCACCATACGAGCACCTCACGCCCCACTCGCCTCGCCGAGAACGAAAAAGCCCGGGTCGACGTCGGTTCGGTTTTCTCGCGTGCTTCCCGCCACTCACCTATAAGCGTGGTCGGCTGCCGACAGATTTAAAAAAACAACGTCTAAACTGCTGTTGTCGCTACGCCGATTCTCGACGAAGTGCGTCGGCGTTTAGCACGGGGGTTCTAACTCGGCGAAGGATGGGAATGGCATCCTTGCAACGGTCCGCATACCGTTGTGTTCGGAAGAGCCAGTCTGTTCTCCCGGGCGGTTTCAGATGCGGCCACCACGGCTTCCTCAATCGCCGCCTATGGTCTGCATACCGTTGTGTTCAGAGAGCCAATCTTTCTTCCCGGGTGTCGGCGGCTTTGCGCAAACGGCGTCGTCACTGTGCCTTGGTTTTGCATTCTCGCGTACAACGTGCGTAGCGGGCAAACGAAACCACATGCCTACTCCCCGGTGCCGTCGTAAGAGTGCGCGTCGACAGCGGCATCGAAAATACTCTCTTACGTAAGGGGGGGAAGTGGACCTAACAGGCAAACAAAGCAAACGAGCACAGCGGGAACTGCACTGCAGTCTCCTCAAACCAGTCCAAACGAAATGCAAACGCATTTAATGATCGGTTCAAAACGTGCACACTGACCGCACTGCAATGAAGCGATAATTGTAAAAAAATAGAGTTCATACTAACCAGGGTTTACTGTCGATACGTGCCTTTCTGCCCAGTACAGCAGGCTCGCAATAATTTAAACGAATTTCAAAATTCTGGTTTTCCCGCTAACGTCTTTAATGTATTCGTAAGCCACTTAATTCGTACGGCATTTGTGTAATTCATCCTTTTTAGAGCGCAGCTCTTAGGCGGCCGTTTCCGGCTTGAGCGGCGTCGCCGTAACCGCGAGGTCACGTGACCCCCCAAGGTCACCCCAAGGTCACGTGACCCCCCAAGGTCACGTGATTCCCCTCCCCGAGGTCACGTGACCCCCCCCCCCCCCCCCCGAGGTCACGTGACCCCCTCGCCTCAAGGTCACGTGACCCCCTCGCCTCGAGATCAGGTGACCCCCGGAGCATATTAAAGAATGAGGGGAGGAGGAGGGGTGTACCCTCCCCTCAGTACCCTTCCCTCCTCCTTATCAAAAGCTGCGCTCCAATTCGGCCTTACAGGAAGTTCTAAACGGCTTTCACTTTTTCTTTTCGCGGCCCCGTTGAGTGCGCTTCTTTCCGAGCACCGGTGCACTGCAGAGAGGCAACAACTGCGGAGCTTACTACCGAGAGTGTTGCTTCTCCCCAGCGCACCGGTGCATGGTGAAAAGCGCACTCAACGGGGCTCGAGCAAGCACATTGCAGCTGGCACCTCGCCAAATTTTTGGTAGCGAGTTGCGCAGACGCTGCGACGCGATGGCGCGGCATAGGTTCACGTCCCGGCATTCGCACCAAGCGCTGTGCCCGTTTTCGTCGCTCCCGTGTCCCCCACTTAAATAGTCCGCATCAGACGACTTCTTGGCCCGATGAACAAATTTAATTTTGTTTCGAGTCGTTGCGTGCCGTGTAACAGTCCACGATAAACAACATTTTTGAGGGATGAGTAAACTTGCGTCACATTTCGTCGTTTACCCTGAGACTTGGGTTTTTTTTGAAGAGCAGAAGTAACAGGAAAAACAGACAGGTCTCAAACTCAGCTACAAGTTTATTTCAACAACTTCTTATATAGTTCGTTCTCGTCGTCATCAACCAATCACATACGATTTGGACAAGTCGTATGTGATTGGTTGATGACGACGAGAACGAACTATATAAGAAGTTGTTGAAATAAACTTGTAGCTGAGTTTGAGACCTGTCTGTTTTTCCTGTTACTTCTGCTCTTCAAAAAAACCCCAAGTCTCAGGGTAAACGACGAAATGGTTGACTTCCACCACGCGCCTGTACTTTGACTCTTTTCTCGTTTGTGTCACATGTTTCACAAATGTTTCACGCGAGGCATACCTGCTTCTGGTCAGTAGGCCTATGTAGAGCAGGGGTTCTCAAACTTTTTGGCCTCATGGAACCCCAGGAAGCCTCAAAAACTGCCGCGGAACCCCCCCCCCCCCCCCTCCATATTTGCTGACCGAGAAGCAACAGATCCACAATTGTAGGCAATTTCGCTTGTGTTGCTTCCCATATGTCCCCACCATATCGATCGCAATGTCAGTACAAAGCGAGATGAAGGTGCTTTAATTGCAATGTCCAGCCGCACAGCCTACGGCATTGGGGGGGGGGGGGGGGGGGGGGGTTGCAATCTGGGTGTTGGCGGACCCACGAGACCAGCTCGTGGAACCCGCGTTCCCCGGAACCCAGTTTGAAAACCCGATTGTAGAGGATATCATCGAACATCTGTTTTGTATGTGTAGCCATTCATATTTAGCTGAACAAGTCAAACGAAATTTGTGGCTTCCCGGAGTTTGAATTGACGAGAGTCTGTGCTTTGACGAGGGCCGACACCCACCTGTGCGGAGACGTCGGCAGCCGAGCGGGGCGAAGGCGGCCTCAGGAACAGGGTGTCTTGGGAAGTGAAGCCGGAGTCCTGGGAGGACACGCTTGACAGCCGCAGCGGAGGGCCCACGGCCGGCTGCTGGCAAACCAAGAAGCACACCAAGTGAGCCCTCTCGTCATTGTAGTGTGCCTTCAACAAGCTAGATGGCGCAACAAGTCATGGTTTGTGTTGTTACTACGAGATGGTGCCACGCGCTGTCTCCCAATTGATGTACAGAATGTCACAAAAAAAAAAATTTACACGGTCTCTTTTACCGCGAAAAAAAAAAACTAGGCATCGCCGAACGCTCATTTTTCGCCCAAAAGTAGCGCTAGAGGTCACAACCAGGTGCCAAAGTTTCAGCCCGATCCGATAACTTAATCCAAAGTTATGAGTGGATTTTCTGAAAATTTCAATGGGAAAATGGCGCCCGACGGAGTTTTCAAACACGTGGGGCTCTATGGCACCAGAAACCGAAAACGGGCAAAAAAGGGCTCCATTTTCCCATTGAAATTTTCAGAAAATCACTCATAACTTTTGATTAAGTTATCGGATCGGGCTGAAACTTTGGCATCTGGTTGTGACCTCTAGCTCTACCTTTGGGCGGAGAATGAGCGTTCGGCGATGCCTAGTTTATTTTTGCGGTAAAAAAGACCGTGTAAATTTTCTTTTGTGACACCCTGTACATATTGAAAATAGAACAGTCTTCACAAAAACTCCGAGCTGGTGCGACGTCTCTTTCTTTCGTCGGGGTTCCCGCCTTGAACCCCGCACCTGGGCAACCCGCGGCCCACGCGCCAGCAATGTAAGCCTTTTCAGTATCTTTACAGGCCTTTCGGGGCGCTGTCCTTATCGTAGCTTTTCCTGTCTCTTTCCACTCATTCATAGAGGCCCAACGCGACCATTACAGTCGTGACACCCTGCTTATAATACACCATTAGGCCCGCTTCGGACGGGGCAACTTTTCCAGCAATTTCGAGGTTGCTGGCGAGTTGTTCCCTAGCTTTTCCTAGATCGACTCCGGCTCGAACAAGCGAGCAACTCGGAGCTATTCGAAGACGGTTGAAGCGGCAGCAGCCAATCAGGGACGCGATGTTTTCACGTGACACCCCTGTGGTGGTGATGATGACAGCTAAAGACTTGGTTCTGGTTTGGAATGGATCGTTTTCGGAAATAAACATTTTCAGAAAAATGAGTTTGTATTCTCAACGCCGTTCAAAGATATAAGGACGCGTTTTTAGCACGTAGCTGGGTGTCTAAATAGTAAAAGAAGAATCGAATTTAAGGGGAGACACTGCCCAGAAAAAAAAATTTCTGCCAAAAAAGTTGATTTTGAAAAATGACATATTTACATCCACCAACATCTAGAGTATTCCTAAAAAGTTATTAATTTTCATTGCATAGTTAATTTTTTATAAATTATTTTCTGTCCACCAAAGCTAAAGAAAAGGTAGGGTTTGGAACACTTTGAACGCATTTTTCTCCATTCCACTTTTTGGTATAAATTCCATTTTAGTCAATCTATCGTTTGATAATGGCAAAACAAGGAAGGCTTATTCTTCCCTTTTCCTGACTGAAATTTAATAAGGAATGTGGCTATGGAACTTTTTTGTCACTTAACGAATGTCTTTTATAAAAAATGTTGACATTTTGTCAAAGAGACAGAAGACCAAAAAGTTGACCAATTTTGCAGAAGAGAAAATTTATAGAAATAAATTACTTCTTAGAAAAAACGTTCCATAGCCGCACCCTCTAGGCATTCTGCTACATATCTAGTGAATAAAAATCTTGAATATTGTGGTAGTTTTCTGACGATAGATTAACTAAACAATGTAGGCGTGTTGCTGATGGAAGCTACTCTAATTTCCTTCTCATTTAACCGACAGACCTGAAATTTTGTTATACACCCTCTAGCATGACAACCAGCCTACCCTGTGAATTTCAATAATTTTAAGACAAGGGTTCAAAAGTTGACCCCCCTAGGGGGTGTGTCCCCTTAATGATGATGATGGCAGGTCGGAACAATTCAGTTGCTGTGTGCGAACGCGGGCGGCCGGTGTTGCGACGTCAGGTTACTGGGTGAAATTGCTCAGCCTGAAGTGGGCCTTATTGAAAAAGACCACCAGTACCAAGTGCAGCAACGGGGCATTGCAAGTTTTTTGCGCTATTGCTCCGGATTTACGGAAATTTTGAAAGTGCAGGTTGATGTTCCGTTTGGAGCAAAGCCAGAGTACTCTCGCACCTCTAGCGTTTTCAAACGATACGTCATGAAGAAGCTAATCCAGACGAGAGCCGTCTGGATTAGCTTCTTCAAGTGAAGATGCGAGGGCACTTAAGGGATCAGCCATGTTGGCTCTCCACTTGGGAAGCCTCCTGTCCAGGCTCGGTTTCTTGGAACCAAAGCTGCTACCTTGGCTGTCAACCCTCCTGCAACAACTCCCTACCAAGGAGCAGGGGCAAAGTTACAAGGAGCGGCAAGCCGCTGCGAGAGTCCAGACCACGGAAATACTTCTGTGGGTGTGTATTAAGGGGGCACACCCCCTAGGGGGGTCAACTTTTGAACCCTTGTCTTAAGATTAATGAAATTTACAGTGTAGGCTGGTGGTCGTGCTAGAGGGTGGGTAACAATATTTCAGGTCTGTCGGTTAAATGAGAAGGAAATTAGAGTAGCTTCTATCAGCAACACGCCTACACTGTTTAGTTAATCCATCGTCAGAAAACTATATTGCGATATTCAAGATTTTTATTTGCTAGATATGTAGCAGAATGCCTAGAGGGTGTGGCTATGGAACGTTTTTTCTAAAAAGCAATTAATTTCTATAAATTTCCTCTTCTGCAAAATTGGTTAACTTTTTGGTCTTCTGTGTCTTCGACAAAATGTCAACATTTTTTTTATAAAAGACATCCGTAAAGTGACAAAAAGTTCCATAGCCGCACTCCTTATTAAACTTCAGTCAGGAAAAGTGAAGATAAGCTTTCCTTGTTTTGCCATTATTAAACGATAGATAGACTAAAATAGAATTTATAACAAAAAGTGGAACGGAGAAAAATGTGTTCAAAGTGCTCCAAACCCTACCTTTTCTTTAGCTTTGGTGGACAGAAAATATTTTATAAAAACTTAACTATACAGTGAAAATTAATTAAACTTTTTGGGAATACTCTCTAGATGTTGGTGGATGTAAATATGTCATTTTTCAAAATCAACTTTTTTTGCAGAAACTTTTTTTTCTCGGCCGTGTCTCCCCTTAAAAGGCGTTTATACGAGACACCTTCCCGAGTCCCCTGCCTGGAAAACTCCCCAGTTCAAAAGCGCTCCAATACATTTCATTTGACTGCACATACAGAAACAACCACCCCCCCCCCCTTCCAGTGCACCCTGCACATTTTGTACCAGTTTCGTGCACTGCAACATTATGCAGAGGGAGAACCAGACGCAGCATGCGCATGAGGCATTAGAGAAAGCACAAATGCAGCATTTTGCCACTACTCAGCACTAAGAAATAATGTCTATTCAGCCAGTTTCTGCTGAATGCTTTAAAAAAAAAAAATGCCCACTCTTGGCCAACACCAGACACGACAAATTCGAGATACGACCACCGCCTCTTTCCGACTCCTGTCCACTGTATTCCGTGGACAATCGCCCAATCTGGCGTTTCTCGTAAATATGTAGGGGTGAACGAATACTCGAATATACGAATTCGAATAGAAAGTTGCTGAATAATTCGATTCACGAATCGAATATCCTAGTATTCGATCACTCGAATATTCTATATATTCGGCCAAGACGCGCAATCGGCGCAGAGCTGACAAAAACCTTTTTTTCTCTCCCGATGTAAGCGCCGTGATGTTAGACAGACCAACAGCAACTGCTTTTTTTTTTTTTCACCAGAACTTTTTACATTTTTGCTATTGCTCCGTACAAGATGCATATTCTACACCAGGCACATACTCTGCACATATAATAGTCTCATTCGCAGCACACTTTGAAAAATTCCTACAAATAAAATCACTATTAGATATTCAATTTAATATTCGGCTTTTTTTTCTTGATTCGATTCGGTACTCGATTCGATTACTACTATTCGGTATTCGCACACCCCTATAAACGTGCGTTGCTCGGTCGGCAGTGCCGGCAGATGTGCAAGCAGTGTCGGATAGGGTTGTGCGAATAGTGGTTCGAATCGAATAGCGCTGTGTTCTATGCCTTGACAGTGCATAGAAAAGCCAAGGCGGCCGGTTCTTTCAACAGTGCAGAAGGTAGGGATGACGCTGCACTATTCAATTCGAACAACCATTCGCACACCCCTAGTGTCGGACAGTGAACGGGAAAAGTCCGAGACGGTTGCTCACCTGCGACAAGGAACGGTGTGAGGGCGAGTGTGACTTGGTGCTGCCGCTCGACGAGCTGTTGAAGCTGCTGATACTGCACATGCTCGACTTGCGCGACCCCAGGGAGCTGGGAGAACTGGGAGGCGTCTGCAAACCCGGCAACACAGAGAGCAGCTCAAGGGACCGCCCTTTGGACGTCACCGACTAGGGGTGTCGCGAACCGGCCGAGGTTCGAGTTCCACCAGGTTCGACTTTTTCGAACTTGTAGTGGAAAGCTCGACGAACCTTGTATTTAGGTTACGCCCAACGTTACTAAAACACTCAGTTGGGAAACTCCCATAGAGACAGCTTTGAAAAAGTGGCCCCAATCTGTCTCCGAGCACCGAGCTAATGACGAACACAACGCCACCATTTCTCCCGCAGCGGCCTCTCGAGGAACTGCACGTGACTTCTATTATGGCTCTAAGAACAGATACAGCGGTAGAGGTTACAGGGGTGCCACCCCCGTCTCCCCGGCGGACTCGCCGCGTTCAACTATCGACGTTAAAATGCACCTAGGTCAGGACGCGCTACCTGAAAGGCCCGCTGAGGCATGGTTGTATAAAAACAATATTAATTGTTCCGCAAAACCTTGCCAACTAAAGATGATAAAAACATCACCCGCCCATCATTTGGTACTAAACTCCAATAAATTTCATACAAAAAGAGTCTTTTCCGTTTGTTTTTACGCAAAAACATGCTTTCTAAAAGCTCAAGGTGACCACAGTACAGACAAATGATAAAGAGTGGCGCTGTTGTCGTATTTAGCTCGGTCTCGGTGGACGCCAGCGGTCCAAGTTTCGACGGCGAGTTTCCCAACTGAGTGTTCTAGTAACATTGGTTACGCCTAATGTGCGCATGCGCGACAGGCCGGCCAGTTGGCTTCGGATTGGATGGTGATGGCTAGGGGATGAAGTAAGGGCAGCGCTGACTGGTTATTTCAGTTAATGCAGTACAACGAATTAGGTTATTAACTTCTTCAGTTATTAGAACCAGTTTAATTGTAGCTGTTCACAAAATTAAAATAATCCTTTGCATAAAAAAAAAAAAATTCTCCAAACCTAGACATGCTTGTATCAGAATCTGGCCACACTGTCCACAAAGTCGAACCGGTCGAATCTGTTGGAAAAGTTCCAAGGTTCGTCGAACCGGTTCGACCTAAAAATCCGGTTCGACAAAAGTTTGCAACACCCCTATCACCGACCCTCCTTGCACGGAACATTTTTAAGGGGGAACACTACCCAAGAGGCTTAATATGAATAGCTTAATATGAATAAAATTTATGGCTTAATATGAATGAAATTTAGAGTATATACTGAAAGTTGCAAGGCAGAATGCAGTGCAAAGTTTCCTCAGTGTACACGAGTTGTAAAATAAATTATAGTCATTTTTATCAGGAACACACCGACTTCGTTTAGGAAAAACTATCGTTAGGAAACTAATGTAATGCCCAACATTTTTCTACTCTATATCCGCAGCAGAGTGCCTAATCTTAACATCTTTTATAAAAATCAAATAAATTTTTTTTCCTCTTATCGTCATCCACAAAATCTTAACATCTATTATAAAGGACATCCACAAAGTCAAAAAAAAAAACAATACCATAGTTGCACTGCCCATAAAATTCCACTTAGGAAAAACAATAAGCAAGTCTTTCCATTAACAAACGATAGTTTTCCTAAAATGAAATTTATGCCAAAATATGGAACGGTGAAAAACGTGTTCAAAGTGTTCCAACCCCTACCTTCTCTTTAGCTTCAATGGACCGAAAATTATTTATAAAAAATTAACCATGCAGTGTACACTAATGAAACTTCCTGGAAATACTCTCCAGGTGCTGGTGGATGTAAATATGACATTTTTCAAAAATCACCTTTTTTTGCAGAAATTTTTTTTTTGTTTTTGGGGTAGTGCCCCCCCTGAGGAACACTGGTCTTGAAGCTTTTTTTTCTTATTTTACGACCAAACTCAATGAAACTGCACAAGCTTGTTCAGCTTTTGGTAATTTCCTCAGTCATTAGAATTTTCCTGAAGATAATTAAAACTTGTCTGCCTTTGTTTGCAGGAATGATATGGAAAAAAAAACTGCTCAACAAAATATCCTTTTTAACACATGGCCAGATTCTACAAAGTGTAAAGAATACAATGTTGGAAGTACTTTTAAGATAAACTAATTATTAGTGATTTCACAACATCTTGAAGTTCAGTGCTCAATGCATGGCTAACAAGTAACAAAACAAAAGATCAAGTAAAAAATATTTTTAGACTTACATTAAAAACTTTGCTCTCAACATTGTATGCTTCACACATTTAGCAACACATTTCAAGAAAGCTTATATTTCTGACTGCTTCAAATGCTCAGATATCCTCTCTGTAAATTTTCAACCAGTCCAAAAAATTGTGTTACGCGAAAACAGTGTTTTAGAGTCAACTTTAATGCACATTCAGCCCGCATAGACGTTATAAATTGATTTATAGCTCAAATATTCATCCACAAAATTAGAAGCCTGGTGGATTCAGAAGAACAACAGCCATCGCCATTTTCAAAAGAATGCAGTTTTAGGAAGTTTTTGGCACCAAAGACTTAAGGCCCGTTCACACTCTTGCGACCAAGTACGACTGAGAGAGACGAGATCTCTTAAAACTTGTTAAATGTTTTTAGAATGAGGGAACACACTGGCATTGTGGCATCATCTATGCGGTGACCCTGGAACTGCATTTCACAAGAGCGAAGGTTTTGCGGGATTTCCGAGGTCAAATGTGCGTAATACCCATGGAAAGGCTCGTTTATAACATTGATAAAAGTTTTTCGAGCCAAGAAAGAAAGGATAATGCGCGATAAATAAAAAAATATGCCGGACCGGTCGAGTTTACACTGCTTCCCAATAGATGGCGCCAGTGTGTTCTCTGGTTTAAGAAGTTTTAAGGAACCCAGGTTTAAGAGGTCGCAAGAGTGTGAACGGGCCTTAATGTGCGGCAGAGAAAGATCTACCTAAAACGCAATTGGATGAGAATCATGCTAGAATCATCATTCTTGCGGATTAGAGTCTGCCTGCTGTAGAATATTCCGAGTTGGATCAAAGCACAAGCGTTATAATCGTACAAAGTTGCTGCCCAAAAAGTAGCAAAGCAACAAAATCTGCTAACCATGTTGAATTAACCCGAAACTGGGGTAGAGAAGAAACATCAAAACGTAGAAGGGACAGAAAATAGACGTTTCAATGTTTCTACGTTTTGATGTTTCCTCTCTACCCCAGTCTCAGGTTAATTCAACATGGTTAATATTCACTGCACCCTTAAGGCCCGTTCACACTCTTGCGACCTCTTAAACCTGGGTTCCTTAAAACTTCTTAAACCAGAGAACACACTGGCGCCATCTATTGGGAAGCAGTGTAAACTCGGCCGGTCCGGCATAATTTTTTATTTATCGCGCATTATGCTTTCTTTCTCGGCTCGAAAAACTTTTATCAATGTTATAATTGAGCCTTTCTAGGGGTATTACGCACATTTGACCTCGGAAATCCCGCAAAACCTTCGCTCTCGCGAAATGCAGTTCCAGAGTCACAGCGTAGATGGCGCCACAATGCCAGTGTGTTCCCTCATTCTAAAAAACATTTAAGAAGTTTTAAGAGATCTCGTCTCTCTCAGTCGTACTCGGTCGCAAGAGTGTGAACGGGCCTTTACGATTTTTTCTAAAAATCTGCGAGGGCTGCACTTTTCACCTGTCCTTACACCCCTGCAGCCCTTTCTGGAGATTTCGCAAAGTTCCCTGCCCTCCCGAGAAGGAGGCTCGGGCGCGACACCGACCTGGAACGCCCAGTCCGAGCCCTTGAGGTCGGCGATGACCTGCTCGCTGGCCGAGGGCAGCCGCTGGGGGTCGGCCGTGAGCCGGGACAGGGAGTCCAGGATCTCCTGGAGGTGCGCGATCTCGTGCAGCATGAGCAGCTCTTCCTGCACCACGGGGCGCAGGCAGGCCACCAGCAGGCAGAAGCGGCCACGTTCTTCCACCAGGGCCCGGCGCACCGCCTGCTTCTCGGTCTCCTCCAGCAGCAGGTACTTGTCGCTGACGTCCTGCAGCGCGCAGTCCAGCGACCGCTGCGTCTCGTACCGGGCTCCTGCGTGCGCAACCGAGTCCCGCTCGCTCGAGGACCCCCCGTTCGCTCGGCGTCCTTCTCACCCTTCTTGACTTTCTTCTGGAGTCGCAAGGTGTCCGTGGACATCTTCTTGATCTCCTGGCGGGCTCGCTTGAACTCTGCCAAAGAAGAGCGGATGCACTGACCCCACCCTCGACCGTACGGCCCTCCGAAAGACGCACACGCTTGCCTAAAGGGGGTCGGAACGGCAAGGAGTTGGCAGCGTCCGTGCAGGGCCGTAACCGGGGGGGGGGGGGGGGTTAGGGGGTTCTGACCCCCCCCGAAATTTTTTTCTGGGTACGGCCCTGGTCGGTTCACTGGCAGCCAGCCGATTTTAATCTCCACCTCTGCGCACGCGCAGTGGCGCCGGTCGGCTACCAGGTACCAAACCGGGACCGGTTCTCCGGTTTGCTGTAACTCTCCATTATATGCCACCGATGTACATGATTCATAGGCGAAAATAAGACAAGAGACACTTTCAAAATGGCCACCGTTGTCCCCGAAACCCTCCCCCCCCCCCCCCCCCCCGAAATTTTTTTCTGGGTACGGCCCTGCGTCCGTGTATGCTAATTTCTGTTGCTGGACCGTCACCCACTCTTGCTGGATTTCGAGGAGGTGCCAACCGCTTTCGTACCGCATCATTTTCACACCCAGATAACGGCTGTCGAAAATAACCAAGGACCGGCATTCTCTTCTGTCGAACGACGTCCGTACGCCGTGCATCGACGGTTACTTAAGAGACCCTTCCTCGGTAGAATGGTTAAACACCAACCTCACTACAGTGTAACCCACTTATAACGATACCAGAGATAATGATGCACAACTTATAATGATCACTTTCTAGAGTTTCTAGACTGGAAATTATCAATTTTCTAGTTCAGATACTACGATAACCGGTTACAACGATTGAAATTGTGGGTTTTCTCACTATCGTTATAAGTGGGTTGCACTGCAACACAAGATCATTTCAAAAATGATAGTCGTGTGCAAATGGTACATTTTGAGTTCCAAGCGAGTTCCAAGCCAATTCGAAGCAAATTTAAAGCAAATAGTGGTTCTGGCCCAATGATTTTTAATTGAATATCGAATAGTTTCTCCAAGCCTTTCACTACTGCTCAATGCTTAAACGAAAACCGAGATCAACTCGTGAAGGTCGTTCCTGAGCTTCCACTTGTCCGCTTCTAAGCCCAGTCATTTAATACAACTCTACTTATAAACTGTGGCATGTAAAAAATACTATACTCCGTTTCATGATAACTCAATGAGAGCGTCGGGGAGAGGAACGCCTCACCAAGTCACGGAAGCGCGCGTGTCACTGCGCCAAATGCGCGAGGCCCGGACGAACTGGCTGTTGTCTGCATGCGAAAACAACCAACTCTGGATGAACGTTCACCGCTGCAACATCGCCGTCTGCACCAATGCGAGGCCCGGACGAACCGGCTGTCGTCTGCATGCGAAACCAACCAACTCTGGATGAACGTTCACCGCCGCAACATTGCCGTCTGTACCAAATGCGAGGCCCGGACGAACCGGCTGTCGTCTGCATGTGAAACCAACCAACTCTGGATGAACGTTCACCGCCGCAACGTTGCCGTCTGCACCAAATGCGAGGCCCGGACGAACCGGCTGTCTTCTGCATGCGAAACCAACCAACTCTGGATGAACGTTCACCGCCGCAACGTTGCCGTCTGCACCAAATGCGAGGCCCGGAGGAACCCGCTGTCGTCTGCATGCGAAACCAACCAACTCTGGATGAACGTTCACCGCCGCAACGTTGCCGTCTGCACCAAATGCGAGGCCCGGACGAACCGGCTGTCGTCTGCATGCGAAACCAACCAACTCTGGATGAACGTTCACCGCCGCAACGTTGCCGTCTGCACCAAATGCGAGGCCCGGACGAACCGGCTGTCGTCTGCGTGCGAAACCGACTAACTCTGGATGAACGTTCACCACCGCAACGTTGCCGTCTGCACCAAATGCGAGGCCCGGACGAACCGGCTGTCGTCTGCATGCGAAACCAACCAACTCTGGATGAACGTTCACCGCCGCAACATTGCCGTCCGCTAGAGCTTTTCGGGAACAGTTTGTGATACAACCATACGCTCAATTTACTGGCGAGTCTGTGGCGGCTGCTAATATACCAGGGCGAAGTTTCGAGCAAAAGCGGTCGATTACAGGACTGCGATCGTTCAAACGTCGTTCAAAAACCACCTTCTCGAAAAAGGGTTGATCCGAATTAAGTATCGTTGAAAAGAAACGTGCCTTTTATTTATTTATTTATTTGATACGTGCCCACAAACAGCATGACGCCTTCAGCGTGGTGCACAAAAGGAAACGAAGCAAAGAAAGTATGTGAAAATAGGTAAAAAAGCGAAGAAGAAAAGAAATTGAAAGAAAAAAGAGAAATTAACAAATATTATACATAACTGTATTTTACACGACTCTACAACACAAAGAAGTACACTCAGGCTTTGGACAAATTTTCAAGTCTTTCTTTCCTGTCGTTTAGATAGATATGCAATCGCGCAAAATCAATTGCCATTAAAAGAAAAAAAAACTACTCTTTTGTCGCAGACGGCTCTGTTGCTGTGGCGGTACCGAGGCCTCCGTGGCTTCGACCACGGACTATTGTCACGTGCCTTGCTCCGACGCCCTTATTGGGTGGCTGGGGCCACAGCCTGCGCAGTTCGCCAAGTTGTCATGAAACTGAGTTTGAACTTGGAAGATCGAAAACATAAAAAAAAACCTAAAGAACACAGATAGAAGAGACGGAGATAGCCATACTGCTGGACTACCAACTACGTATTTAATGCTTGTTCCTCTCATTGCACCTTAAAGGGGCCCGCAAGCACTTTTTACTTTTTTTTACTTTGCACCGAACATGAGCGTACTGACCGTAGTAAGTTAATGAAACTTTTCTTTTCTCGAATTTCGCTTTATTTTAAAAGTTATAGGCAAATTAAAATTACAAAAACAAGCAAAAAATAACTTCCCTCATGACGTCCTTGGTTGCTTGAGTGGCTGTGAACTAGAGGAGGGATAGTGAGCACAGCGAGCGCTCACGGCCGCCGCACTCCGTGTCGACGGCGCGAGAGGGCGCCACTAAAGCGTGTTCTGGATAGGTTGTATACAGCGGGCAGCCAGAGCGGCTGTCATTGCATTTGCTGCGCAATTAAACACTAATTCGGCATGACACTTCATCGGCCACAAATGACAGCAAACACGGGGTAAAGATCAGTTCAGAATGGGAGCCACTTCGCGCTGCCATATCGCAAAACGACCAAACCACAAGACAAGGCTGCTCGCTGAAGGCCTTCGGAACGCTCGGAGCCGGTCGGATCCTCCAGTCCGTAAACGACCGCAGCGGCGCCGCGTACATCCGGGACCTTTCCGTGTCGGCGCCTGATCCCACTACCCCTTTCTAATATGCGCCGCCTTTTCCATCGCTTGGTGGCGGGTATGTCGACGGGCCATTTCTTGTTTCCGTACTTTATAAACTGCATTTGTTTCTTTTCTGATCTAAAATACTGAACGAAAACTACTTTTATGAATAATTGAAACGGTTCGCGCCACTTATATTTTGTATTTCGACTAAAAAGAAGCTTTTAGCGGTTCTGACCAGTAGTAAGCCCAGGACCAAAGACGTCACATTTTGCGCGCTTTCGGTACCGCGGGTCGCCCTCGTCGGTGGAGGAGGTTTCCGCGTCGTCCGGTTAAAATATGATGCAGTGATATTTAGTTACTCTCTCCGTGCCCGCTGGCTTGCCCGAACCCCAAGAGACGTGGAAACCGCTAAAAAGGTAGACGCTTAAATATGATTGCGGGGCCCCTTTAACTATCTGCTGCGGCTGCTTTTCTTTTCATTCTGAGAGCCCCACACAACCCCATACAATCCAAGGATGAACCAAAATGAAATGAGAGCCACACACATTCAACTCCAGCCCGTAATGAAACAACAAATTTGTCGCAGCTATCCTAATACCTGCAGCGCACGCAACCTCACCGGGTATTGCTTCCCCGCAGTGCACCGGTGATTGGTGAGAAGCACACTCAACGGGGCCATTTCGCTGCGATCAAAACTAAAAAAAAAAAAAAAAACACTGCGGTTCATCTCAAAGGAAATAGCATCGATAACGTATTATTCGGAAGTAGTATTGGAAAATTCGAATATTCGCACGAGCCTAAAAATCGGCGAAATTCCCCGCGTCGACATGGAATTACGAGGTGCGTCTTCTCCATTGATATGTCAAACTGGCGCCTAGACGAAAAAAAGTGTTCAGTAAACAGCCGCTTGTAAGCAAGATGGCCATTTTTTTTTGGTTATACTCCGAATGAAACGAGTTCAAACCATTGATTCTGGAAAGCTAACAATGGTTCCTTTTTAGTTGTCTTTGGGACGGATCGTCTTGCCGAGTGGTACCTTTCGGTCAATACCCATCCAGTTGCTCGTACGCAGGGTTTTCAAGCTCTTGGATCCCGGCAGCCAAGGAAATGGCAGACGCTGCTGGCGGGCCTCAATGGGCGGCATCGGCGGACGGCTCACCTTTCGAGTGGTCCTTGTCCAGTTGGAGACTCATCTTCTTCCAATCTTCCATCTTGTCTTGAAGAGGCAGCACCAAATGGTCCATGATGGATCTGCACGGAGACGGGCTTTCAGCTGGAAACAGCCTTCAGAGAGCGAGATCCCCCTCGGCCCAGCACAAAGGCCGTGGCAGCCGGGGAAGTGCCAACACGCAAGTCCGACGGTCGATTAACTCCGTTTTCCGTGGCACACCAGAGGGCAGGGAACACCCATCCCCCTCCATTCATAACCGAGGAACCCCTCCGCTTCGGCATTGGTACAACAGAGGCTGTGTTCCTAACCTAACCTAACCTAACCTAACCTAACCTAACCAAACCTAAAAGATAATTCTTTGTCAATGAGACATGCTGACGCACTTGTCTCCCGCTTTTTTGATAAAAAAACGCCTCTATAATTTCCCTCTCTGTCTTGTCCTTGGCTTTCTTTAGGAACTTTGTCATATTTAAAAGCGGTTTACACCCACATCGTTTGACGTGCTCAACAAAATGATATTGAAGACAAGTTACTTACACTCGGACTGTTTTTAGATTTGAGGAAAGCGTTCGACACCGTTCAGCATCCTATTTTACTCAACAAACTAGAATATTATGGCATCCGTGGGGTCGCGCTCGCATTACTAAATAGCTATTTAACAAATCAGCAACAATACGTAAAAATTGACGATCTAGAATCATATAAGGAAAAAACTCGTCATGGTGTCCCACAGGGTTCCATATTAGGCCCTTTACTTTTACTAGTCTATATAAACGATATCGTAAGCATTTCTGGTTCCCCGGAGTTAATAATGTATGCAGACGACACTAATATTTTTTTTAGTGAAGCAACTCTAGAATGCCTGGAGGAGAGGGCAAACGCCTATCTTGTAAAGCTTTCAAAATGGCTGAGTTCCAATGGGCTACAATTAAACACAAGCAAAACAAAATATGTGACTTTTAAACCATCAACAAAACGTCTTACAAGCTCCATTCAGATTACGTTTGAAGGTGATTTAATAGATCAAGTAACTGAGCAAAAATTTCTGGGTGTGTGGTTTAACCAAGAGCTAAAATGGAATACACATGTAAATAAACTAAAGTCAGAATTATCACGAGTCCTTGGCTGTATTTATAGAGTGGCAAGCCTTGTGCCGAGGTGGTTAGTAGAAACATTGTATTACTCTTTATATTTTTCCAAAATGTGTTACGGGATTCTTATATGGGGCACAACTACAGCATCTGATTACTATAAATTACTAATCCTACAAAAAAAAGTTCTACGTATATTCGAAAACTATGGGGGGAGAATAAGAGAATTTCGGACGAAACCACTTTTTAATAAATACAAAATCTTAAAGGCAAATCAAGTATATTACTTAAAATTATTTCAATTAATTTATCTAAAAAGATTATACACCACCCCAGTCGCCACAGAAGAACTGTACCCGTTCCGTCATGTTAAAAGACGGGAACTCTATACAAGAACAAATTACGGAAGGCAGAGTATACACTATCAAACAATTAGTCTGTTAAATGACATGCCCTCAATGAACTATGCAAATTCGTTCCCTTTATTTAAAAAAGAATGTAAAGCACTGCTGGTAGGCAGCGATATAAAATTTATATAAAATTTATCAAATTTATCTAAGCTTCATAATCACAATAAAGTGTTGTATTATATTTTATACCTTCAAAATTCATCCTTGTTTTATTTTATGTGCATGACTCGCCCTGTTGGGTGTACACTGTTCAGTTTCTTTAAAGTAAGCGATAATGATGTTTGTTATTTGTCTGTTCCTTAGATGACTTGTTTTTTTTTTCTCATGTAGATTATAGTCTGTATTATTGTTTTTTGCATTCAGTACGGATTTTTATCCTTATATACATGGCTTTTATGGTTGCATTTGTGTTATGTATGTGTGCCTCAGTTCTGTAAAAGTTTTTTATCCTGCTGTATTATTTTGTTAGGTGAAATGCATTTTCATGTTATTTTTGTATGTGTGGACTGTAAGGGACCAGTGCCACGTCAGGCTTTTTTAGCCTTTTGCACTGGCCCTTCTTTCGGGCTCTGCCCGAAGGAAAACAAATAAAGAAAGAAAAAAAGAAAGAAATATTTGTTGTGTTTTGGCATTTTTATGTTCGCTGACGATGGTATAGATTGCTTGGTCGATGATGAAATAAACTTAGTTGGAAGTAAGCGCCAGACCTGTTGTATGTGTGCCTTCTTTGTTGCGCATGTCAAGTTTGCGCTATTTTAATCATGTCTAACACTTCTTGAAATGTTAAAAAAAAAAAAAGAACAAAAATGTGTCCCATTCCAACCTCCCCACAGGGAGGAATAGGACACATGCAAGAGTGTGCTCAAAGTCAGCACTACTGCGTCTCACTTTAAGTGCGAGCACAGAAGAAGCTACAAGAGCGAGCTTTAAGTCTCCAGCGTCCCTGCCAAGCACACGTGCCTGTGCAGTGCCAGCACTGTCCAGAGCCACATGCTTCATCAGACGTGAAGTCTGACTGCAGTCGTCTTTTTTCCTCCGATTGTCTGTGGTTTTGGACCGGGGATAAAAAAACTACGGTAACATTTCACGCAAAGCAAGTGGCCTGATGCAATCTCAACTAAAATTAGATGTATTGAGGTATTTAGCACACAAGGTAGAGAGAAAAAGGACAGGACAGAAAAAAGTGCTACTCACAACTACGTTTAGTGATAAGGGAAGAGGTAGAAAACACCCCAATATGTTAGACTACCTACCAGTCAAAGCACCATTCCTCAGCAAGCTCCCCAACTGTGGCAACGGGCAAGAACTTAAAACAGCAGTGCTCAAAAGCAACCTATTAACGTATCCTTCAAGGTTAGTTTACTACAACCGCTGGCCACACCGTTTTGGTTCAAGAATAGAGCGAAACGAATGTGTGCTACCTAAGTTTGAGTGTCAAACTGCCAACCAGATTCAAATTGTGTACCATTAGAGTCAACGTTACTAAAACACTCAGTTGGGAAACTCCCATAGAGACAGCTTTGAAAAAGTCGCTCCAAACTGTCTCCGAGCACCGAGCTAATGACGAACACAACGCCACCATTTCTCCCGCAGCGGCCACTCGACAAACTGCACGTGACTTCTACTTTGGCTTTCAGAACAGGTACAGCGGTAGAGGTTACAGGGGTGCCACCCCCGTCTCCCCTGCGGACGCGCCGCGTTGAGCTACCGAAGTTAAAACGCACCTAGGTCGGGACGTGCTACCTGAAAGGCCCGCTGAGGCATGGTTGTATAAAAACAATATTAATTGTGCCGCAAAACCCCGCAAACTAAAGATTTTAAAAACATAACGCGCCCCTCTTTTGGTGCTAAACTCCAATAAATTTCACACAAAAAGAGTCTTTTTCGTTTGTTTTTACGCAAAAACAGGCTTTCGAAAAGCTCAAGGTGACCACAGTACAGACAAACGATAAAGAGAGGCGCTGTTGTCGCATTTAGCTCGGTCTCGGTGGACGCCAGCGCCCCAGGTTTCGACGGCGAGTTTCCCAACTGAGTGTTTTAGTAACGTTGATTAGAGTTGAAAACAAATGATAAAGAGTCATCGATCTCGCAGTTCGTCAACTCTTTGGAACTATTCACTGAAGAAGTAAGAAAGCAATAGAACCAATTTTGAGGTTTTCAAAAATGTTCCGCGGCACTATTGTTCCATTTCTCATATGCCGGCATAATGGTAGTGCTTGTAAAAATTAAATATAACATTTAAGCGCTCCGTTCACCTGCAAGCTGACAATGCAGCAAAAACTGCAACCAGGGCATCGAACCGTAACCATAACTGAACCCTAACCGGAACTGAACCGCTTGTTTTGCCCGAACCGGAACAGAACTCGAACCGAAATGTTCGGTGCCATTTTGGAGCTGAACCTGAACCGAAGCAAAACACGAGAACCGGTCCGAGCCGATCCGCCAAACGGTTCGGGCGCTCTGCACCGGAAATGTTTAGAGGCTCAGTTAACGCTGCGGGGCAAGGCGTGTCCACTTATGCAAAGATTTTTGTAAGCAGACTTTACAAAGACGAAGGTCAATAACCGCTGTTACCAACTGTCACACCGCCTGAGCTCCTCAGAAACAGAAACATGCTCTCTACAGTCAAACCCGTTTATAACAAACAGCAGGAAACGCTACGATGAGTTCGATACGGCAAGTAATTCGATATAGAAAGAACTATTCATAACGAACTTCTGCGATGCGTTCGTTGTAAGGCGAGAGCCTTCTCTTTCTTTCTCATCTCTTCCCGTCCGCCTTGTAACAACGCGCTGAAAAGTTTTTTTGTGTTTTTTTTTTCGCATGCGTTCAGAGTCTGTTTTTAGCTTACCTCCAATCCTGAATTTCTTCTCTTCGTGGGCAATAATTTTGGAATTAAAAGTTTTTTTTTTTTATGCGTGCGTGCGGAGTATATTTTTTTTAGCTTTCTCCCCTTCTGAATCGCCCCTCTTCGCTCAATTTTGTTCGCAACTTGAGCATTAGGAATTTTCTCACTTTTTTGTGGAAAAGGGACAGGCTAGAAGACGATTGTCTGTGCGTTTTTGGAAGCCTTCCCGTGGGAAAAGTTCGACATAGCCAATATGTTGTTCGTTATAAAACATACTTTTTACATCCATTTTTAGTTAAATTTTCCGTGAGTTCGATGCCGACAGTAATTCGCTGTAAGTGGGTGGGTTCGTTCTAACTGGGTTTCACTGTATTCCTCTTCCTAGTGCCTCTAAATAAGCTACGCTTCAGAGTAACGACACTTCGCCATATTGCGTCTTAAAATCATGGTCGCCAGTTATCTGAAGCTTTATCTGAAATCACGGGAAACACTTTTCCGCCCTCCACAAACGTTTAAACTGCTTGCGACAAAGCAAAGCAACATTACATGACCTTCCTAACACCGAATCCAATGCTGAGGAAGACGCACTTTCGAATCGTGACGATCGGCAGTTGCGTCTGCTCTGCATACGAGCCAAAATGGCGGCGACCACGACACTGTCGGGGAAAGGGAGTGCCGATACTCTAAGCGCAGCTCATTTAGTGACTCTACCTTTTCCCAAGCTTCAAATCCCTCCAATGGTTGCACGGCCCCTTTGAAGAGGGGTCGGTCCGATACTTCAACGAAATTTGAAATATTCCCGTCGTGTTCAAAAATAGGTTGAATATGATCCACAATATCCGTAAATGACAATCGCACGTTTGTATTTTGATCCTGGTGGCTGTATTTTTCGTTATAAACGGCCCACTCTGGCAAGCGCTCGGAGAAGGCCTAGCTTAGAGCACGTGACATCCAACGCAATCGTGACGTAGGTCGTCTCAAGACGAGCAAAGCTACGGCGAGGCTGACGTCGAGAGAATGGCCTAGTCGTTCCAGCCACCGAAGCGGCTGCTTTTGTACGAATTTTGAGTGACAGGTTAATCTTCTGTAATCCTGTAGGTGGACAATAGCGACTTCTGCGACACACAAAAGGGATTCTCGGGAAGAGGGGAGTTCCTCCTTCCCCCCTTCTCTCGTCGTGGCCGGAGACGAGACAACCTCCGTCACTAGCTGTCAATGTTGCTAGACGGGCATTACAAGCGAGGCGTTAGCGACATCCACCAGGTGCTCTTTGCTAATCGTTTAATTCGTTTTAAAATTCCTTTTCGAGACTTTTTTAACAAGATATTGGTAGGTTCCATGCGATACTGCTCTTTTGAACACATATAGACCAAAAAATGAGCGCCGAAATTTCGTTGTAGTATCCCTTTAAAACCCCTCCTGCCATTGGGCGCCAAGGGTTTCGACACCGAGCGACCGCAAAGAAACCACAAGGGTACGTACGAGGTGAAGGACTTGAGCTTGGCTTCCACGCTGCGCTGTCGTAGACAAAGCCTGGTCAGTGCTTTGCCCACTTCCTTGGTTGCACCTGCGCCACAACGTGTGCATGGGTCACACTTTCATAAAACCACCACCAATATCTAAAAATTGGACCAGCCTTCTGCAGAGAGCTTTCTGCGGTGCCAAAAATATTTCGAAGCTAGCAAACAAAGAACTCTGCTGGCTTCCAAACAGCACGTGTACTTGCGTTCAAACACCCTCAGACAACATTTCCAATCAACTTGCAGTGAGGAGGCACTTTTCAAGAGTTACCAAACACATGCCAGGTAGAAATGTAGCAATTTGAGAGGGCTGTGCTCTCGTTTGATGATCTATGCCACTCATTACGACAGGATGTGGTCAACGTTTGCCTTCCTCTCATGCGTGGGCCTTGCCTTGGAAAGCGCTAGTGTTTCAATGACCCTCTCGCATTGTTCAGCCAAGCGTTAAGGAAGTTTGTTTAAAAAATGAAAGCCGTTTACAATTCCCTGTAACGCCGTTTAGAGCGCAGCTCTTGAGGAGGAAGATGGAAGCATACTGAGGGATAGTTGACTCTTTGAGGTCACGTGACTTCAGGGGGTCACGTGACTTCAGGGGGTCACGTGACCTCAGGGGGTCACGTGACCCCCCTAGGTCACGTGACCCCCTTAAGGTCACGTTACCTTAAAGGGACACTGACACCCCCCAAAAAAAAAATTTTATTTTTTGCCAGGCGCTTCATTATGGTGTCGGAGGACTACCCAATTAATATTTTGCAACAGAGTAGCGTATTTTTTTAATAAAGCCAAAAGACGCAACTCCTCGAAACCGAAACCGAAACCCGACGGAGGTCGGAGAAGTGGAGAGAAGAGAGTGAGTGGCGGAAGTCACGTGGCTACACCCTACCGTGCGTTTTTTTTGTTTTTTTTTTTCTCCTCTTCGGTAGCAGACGACAGGACATGCGGCGTGCGATGGGGCGTGCGGGAACTGCTCGCCGTGCGATTTTTTTGCAGTTATGTTTGTTCCGCTCGTTGTTCTGTACTCCAAAATGAGTTGTTTTGTACATTGAGGAGTTGGACATGAGTAGTAAGTACCCGTGGTGAATTTCCATGATCGGCTTCGAAAAGAATACACCCAAGATGTTGCGTGAAGAGCTGGCTCACATTTCCTGAATTCGAAAAAAAAGTGGCATTGTGCGACAGAGTTTCCGAAAGATCAACGGGATCGGGACCAACGGCTGGCTGCAATTCCTGTAGAACATATACGGGCACCTCGGAAAGCGGACGTTACCTGATTTATATGCTCCTTGCATTTTGTGGAAAGTGATTACATTGAGCTCGCAGGTGTCAAAACGGAAATCCCATACCATTTAAATCAGCGAAGTATCGTCCACAACATTAGTTTGTTATTTTTTTGTTTGTTTCTTCAGTGATGATTGTAAAAATATATATATATATATGTAAACATCGAAAAATGTTTGAAGAAAAAAAAATTAAGTTCCACGGGGGATCGAACCCGGTGCTACCGCGTGTAAACCGGACGTCTTTCCCACTGAGCTACTGGCGCATCGCTTTTCTGGAGGATCTCTTTCCCTAGTAACAATTCAGCCGGTAAACTGTAAGTTGGAAAGTTTGCTGTCGATTTTTCTCTAGCAAAAACACTCCTGGGTCGAAGTCGGGAAGCACCACGCTTTGGGGACATTCGCACCTAGTAAAGAAATCGTACGCGTGCATATTGAACTCGAAGTAGACACGTCGTGCTTGACGTTTGCGCGAGCGATGTCTTCAGCCACGAGAAGGGATCAACGGCTCGGCGACGTCTTCGTGCAAATCGGCTTGGTGGCCGGGCGTGTCGTACGGGATGAATACCAATTCTTTTGATCACTCCCAAATTTCTCTTTTAACGGTAGACAGAATTCGCCGGTACCGCGAACGACAGTTCTGAAATAGAGGTCCCACGCCCGTCGTCCGCTGCCATCGCCGTCCCCGCGAGTCCCACGATGCGCGAAATGACGAACGCACAGAATGCTTCCGGTTGTCTGTGGAACTTTTTTTTTCAATCAACGTATTTACAGCTTTTTAGAAGCCACAAAAAATGGGTTTCATATTTTTTTTTTCTATTTTTAATAATGAGTGTGTGCCTTCAGTGACCCACGACTTTGATTAAATTTGGTGGTCGCATCGATACCTTAGAAAACGGCCCGTGACCGCGAAAAAGAGAGTGAGCGAGACTCGAACCGGCCAGTTCTTGATCGGCGGTTTTCGGGCGGAAAGAAACCGAATTTCGAGCCGCAAATTCTGTTCTGGGTAGTTGAGCTCTCATATGTCACGTAAAACTAAAAACCTCAGCGAGCATAAATACCCTGTCAGTGTCCCTTTAAGGGGTCACGTGACCTAAGGGGGTCACGTGACCTCGGGGGGTCACGTAACCTGGGGGGGTCACGTGACCTGGGGGGTCACGTGACCTCGCGGTTACGCCGACGCCGCTCAAGCCGGGAACGGGCCCCTAAGAGCTGCACTCTAAAACATGTTGTGAAGAACGTGAGCAGGCGACGTTTGCTTCAGAAATCTTTCCAAGTGGGCTCATCAGGGAACTTACCTTTGGTGTTGGTGGCCATGTCAGCAACCTTCTGGAAGGAGTCCAGGAACGCTGCTGACACCGACGCAGTCATCCTGCAAGGACACCAGCCAATGTTGTAACCCTACCACTAGGTAGTCCTCCACGCAAATGGGGACACAGCCCTATGCCGAGAGGGATCGCAGGGTCCACTTGCAACCCACATATGCAAACTTTATCCCCTGTATCCACAAGCAAACTCCAATCCACTACTTTTTGTTTTACATTTGAGGCTTCGAAAGCATGTTTCTTCCCCAAAAAAACGAACTCCCAATGCCATCCAACTCGCGTGTTTGCCCTTCAAAACACTGCACAAAAACACGCGCAGCCGGAAGCTTCATGCAAGCTCGGCATATTTGTCGTCTAATGAAGGAAACAGACCAGAGAAAAACCGAATTCTGTGATTACAACTGCATCTCATGCTAGAAATCTCCATGGTGTTGAGGACTTGCAACCGATTTGGACAGTATAGACCGACACGCTGTTTACAAACAAACTCACGTTTGCCCACACCAGGTGTGGGCACTGCGCGCGCGCAGAAACCGAATTCGTGTGAAGCGTCGCGTCTGCGCCTGCGCAGTGCTGTCGACAGCGCCACCGCAGCCGCGTGACGTCAGGACCGCGTGTTGGTCTATAACTGAATCGAAAATACCCCTTGCTTCCAAAGCCAGTGATTGGCCGGTCTCTGGAAAAACAGTTGTTTTTAAAAGTTTCAGAGAGATGGCTCATACTACGGGTTGTTTTTCTGTTTCTTTAGTCTTCTTCACACCAGATGGATCTCAGTTCGGACTTTGGAGCAATTTTTGTATCAGAAAAAAAAAAAGTCTTGTTTCGGAGCACATTTGTATCAGGAAAAATTGCATTTCGGAGACATTTTGGAGCAACTCTGATGCAGCACATGCGCAAGTTTGGAGCGATTCGGTGCAGTAGTTCCCCATTAGTGATAGCCCACCTAACATCAAGAGCAAATCGAGTAAAAATATGGAGTGGGCTAACTTTCGGTGTGCAATCGAGAAAAGTTAAAGAATTGCTATTTTTAGGTTGTGTCCCTTCCAAGCTTGTTATGGTGGCGAGGAGCAACAAAGCAAAGATAACTGCACTTCCCAGTGAGCAACGTTTTCTTATATCCCCTAACTAGCTGCATTTACGCCGAGGCTAACATTTGTCCCAACACTACTATTACTAGGACTGGGGCTGTCTTTCGGTGTTTAAAACAAGTACAGTAAAACCTCGTTATAACAAAATGGGATATAACAAACTAATGGATATAACAAAGCAATCATAATTCCCCTTGCTTGCTACTAGTGGGAAGAAATGGACATTGGCTATAACAAACTAATGGTTATAACGAAATAATTACAACCGCTCCTTCAACTCTGTTATAACGAGGTTTTACTGTATAGCAAATCGAGCCACGAAATAAGGGTGGGCTATTTTTCGGAGGTGGGGCATCTCCCGGGATTTCACGGTAATCAGTTGCGTGATGCCCAATAAATGCCCAAAGTTGGCAGTTTTGCTGTACTAGCCAAATTACCCTTGGACTGCAGTGAAGCTGTGCTATACACGTTTGCAAGTCCGGCTTCAGGGCGCTGCCATCTTGCTTGGCTGGGGTGCGCTTGGGCCAGTCATAATCCGATTACGAAGCCTTGCTAAGGCGTCGTAATCGGATTATGGCCGCGCCCAAGAGCGCACCCGACTGGGGAAGATGGCGGCGCCCTCAGACCGGACTTGCAAACCTGTATAAGCTTAGTCAAATTCGTGTTTTGTTTCCATTAGCGCTAGTAGACAGAGGTTAGCAGGATATTGATGCAAGTGTGCCAACTATCACCAATGAGAAGTCCATGTAAAAGTACCACTTTAACCCTCTATTCGCAACTCCAGCGCGCCGCTCGCCCTCCTGCGGACGAACGGAGAACCAGAGGAGCGGGGACGGCAGCGGCGGCGGCGGCGCGGAAACGGTGGCAGGGACTGTCCACCTTGATGCGTGAAGCCGTTTTAACGAAAAAAGTGAGCGGGTTGAAAAAGGAATTCTTGTGCTCCGCCTTGCAACAGCCTTGCACGAAGGACAGGGATGTCTAAATCCGTTAGGGACTCCTGGTATATTGCGTACGCTGCGGATTTCTGGTCTTGTGCATGGCCGCCAGCTCAATCTGTGCTCAACCTGACGGAAAACGCTCCCGCTAATTATGTAGAACTCTATAGTGCGGTCTACGGAAAGTCTATTCTTTGCCATAAGTAGGAGACAACTCGTCGCGCAACGGTATGTCGAGCAATACAAATTGGGAATGGGTTCGCGTTTTAAGCCCGTTACAAGGTACATGACCATTTATTCCAAGCACTTTAAAAAGACAGAATACCCGTACTTGCTTTCGGGTAATTACAAAGCGAATCAAGAAATGCTCGAAGCATTTCGAGCGCGTCTGCGTTAGCCAGCCGTTCGTGACGAGAGCTTAGAACGCGCAGGTTTTGGCCAGAGGGACCGCAATGTTGCAAATAACACGGTACAAAATGTACGGTATATTAAAATATTTCTTTTTGATAGAGCAATAAATAAAACCCCTAAACACGCCGATTATGTTAATAGGCAGTTTTTGCATAGCGTACGACACCCCTAAACCTCAGTTGGAGGTACAGCGCACTATCGTTGAACCGGCGCTACCAACTTTCACGAGCGGCTTGATAGCCGAGTTGTGCAACTTATTAAAACAGCTTAAATAAATGTAAATGACTGTAAAAAAAAAAAACAGTAATTGTTTTTTTTTTGGCTTTTCTGCCAAACCTCCGTGGTTTTGTTTCTGTATTTTTTTTTCGTTACTGTTTGATGCATACTTTAGCTGTTTAATAGCTTATATTGCGCCGTCATCAAGCCTCTCGTAAAAGCTGGGGCCGTCAGTTTGACGTCAGTGGGCCGCACGGCGAACTGAAGTTTTGGAGTGTCGTATATGTGACAAGCAAGGACTGTAAGGACTACAACACCTTTTTTTAGAGTGATGAGCACTGCTACGCTCCTGGCGCGCACTGAAAATTGTGCTTCAGAGGCGCAGCGCGAGCTTGCGGTTGTAATGCTACACCACACGGTAGCCTGCGGTAACAAACTTTCTTTCAATAACCATAGAGCAGTTTGATCACGTGTTGCAATACACTAAAACCAAGACGGTGAGCAGCGAGTTGTGAGGCTGTGACGCGAAGACACCAATACTGTGAACGCTGCTCTTCCGAAGCTTGACGGTCACCGTTCGCGGCTCTCTTTCTAGAGGACTAATGGCCAGGCAAAGCGGAAACATATCTTCATCACCCTCAATAACATTCTGCCACAAACAGTAACGTGGCCGGTGCCTAAAACGCGCTCGCTCAGAACAAAGCTTGGCACTTTGAGGTTTCTGCAACTTTTAACTATCAGCATGCTCGTTTCCCTAACGTGATTCAGCATCTCCGTCACCTGTCCCTCCCTAACCGCTTCGCATTTGTAGACAAATAAATAATTTTTAGCGCGCTGAACAGCGTCAGCGAGCAGGCGCACGGGATATCCTGGAGAATCTATCCCCGTCACTTCCGCCATCTTGGAACTACCGCCCCGCCACCTATAGGGCGTTGGAGTTGCGAATAGATAATAAAGAGAGATTGGCACTATTGGTGACGAGACGTCTCGGTGGCGCATTTCGCGGGCGCCCTCCTGTGACGGAGGGGGTAGGACGCGAGCATACGACGTGCTACGTCAAAGCACCGAGTGGCTGCGACACTTAGCATCTATGCCGATTAAAAACAGTTTATTTGTTAAAGAAACACGCATGACATTTTTGTGAGTGATCGAATGCATAACAGGACCTCGAAATTGCTTTTTATATTAAAAAAAAATTTAAAATATTGAAAAACAAGCCTGGAGCTTCACATTACAGCTTGTGCGGCACATGTCAGGGCTATTCACAGCCTCTCCTGATTCTCGTTTTTTCAAATTTTTCACTCTGGTGAATGCAAAACCTTTTTTTCTTTTTTTTTAACAGAAAAAGGTTTTGCACTCGCCAGAGTAAATGACGTGCTGTCGTCTTGGTTGTGCACGTAGTTGTGTTGCAAAGTGCCGCACACTTGTTTTAGCTACAGTGAGCTTGCCGATACCGATGCTTCTATCCAATATGACTCGAAAGTTGCCGACTCTAATGTGTGGCAAAAAAGTCTGTCACATCACGACTTCTGCTTGAAAGAAAAGCAGAAATTTTCATAACTTCTTAGATTGTCGGCCATGGCCCGGCAATTCCAAGAATTTTTACTAGGAATTGTTTACAGGTTTAATGTCGCCCGCTGAAAAGCGGATCACGCAATGCGCAATTCTTCGGGTTCGCAAAATTAAACATGCAATCAATCAATCAATCAATCTTTATTTTTGGCCTTTTAGCCAACGGTGCCCCATACAGGCCCCAGACAGGGTCTGAGGCCAGTTTGGAGATTGGCAGCAGGACTAACTTTCCAAAAAAAATAAATAAAACACGCTAAAATATTTTTATACAAAATACCCAAATCAAAATACCAATATTTAACAAAAATACTAAGGTCGCACACAAACCAGAAAAATATACGCACAGCTTCTGTTCATAATATCTACAAAATATAACACTTTCTAAAAGAGAAATGCGGTTAGCAATATATCAACAACAAAAAAGCGTATGCAGCCATTTTTTCACATTACACAGAAAAAAAAAAACTTTTTAACAAGAATGGATATACCACACAATAAAATTACTTCACATTTATTTAAACACAATGTCCGACAGGACTATAAGAAGTACACCAATAATAATTGTCGAACGACTACTCAATAGAAGTAAGAGAAAAGCGCCGCCATCTTTGGACATACGCAAAAGCTAGAAGGGAAGAAGGTATCAGCAAAGTAAATCTAACGAACGATAAGCTTGTAATTAATGGGAAAATGTTTACTTGGAACAGTGAAAGAGAGGAGGTTGTACCTGTGCAACGTAACTGACGTCAAACGAATTCAAAGAAAGCGGTGCAAAAGGATATCACTGTGATGGTCGTGAATTGCAGAAGCGTAAAAAATAAAGTA